TTTTGTTGGATGGAGTCATCTTCGTCGAGGATAGCAACGTCTTCATCATCATTTGGCACCTGTCGCGGCTCTTGAGTAGTTGTGCTGGTTTCTTGACTTGACCGGTGTTGCTGATGGCTTGGCGGGTTCAATTGCTCAGAAGCGTCCGACGAAGAATGATTTCGATTGACGAGCAGCCTGAGCGTGTCCTCGATAGCCCGCAGCCTCTCGTCATAGCCTGGCTGTAACTGAGGAGGTCTGACATTACCTGCGGCGGGCTGTTGGTAGATACACTCGAACCCGAGCTCAACGCAGAGGCTGCAAGAGGGCCTAGCTCCATTGCAACGTGACTTGCGATTCCTGCAGGAGGTGCAAGCTAGCGCTATGCGCCGGCGTTTGTACGACGGTGGTGGTGTCGTCTGGTCCTGATCCTGTAGTTCGCTTTGGGAGCCCTTCTGGACTTGGGCATCCGACATCGCGGCCCCCTTTCTTGGTACTCCTTTGTCGAGGCACCGTGGTATGACTCGTCACGTGTGTCTCAGGACTATCACCAGAGGCAAAAGCATATCCGGGGCGCAGGATGGGAGAACAGAAGGGGTATATCGGGGAAGAAGCTCTCTTTTGTATGTTTGTGGGGATTGATAACGAGGCTGCGCCCGATCCGGTTGCTTACATCTGCCTTTCGGTGGGCCACAGGTGCAGTACGCAGCCTCGTACCCTTTCAATCAGTCCAAAGAATATTCGCAAGAAACCATTCCCCTGTGTTGATTGAATAACCGCCATCATCCGCTCTCTGGACTTCAGTTGTGACAAGCTTCATTGATGCCAAGTCTACGGACTCCGATTTATACCCGGAGCCGACGAGGGGTAAATGTGGCTGTCTGACACATCCGACCACTCCAAGTGCAACCAAAACCCCCCAATTTAGTTCCTGTCTGACAGGTTGAATTTCCTTCCCTGCGTGCGGCGTCCCAACGTCGTCTCTCTACCTCTCTCTCTACCTCAGACATTCTCACACCGACATGCGTGTCACGATCAACTATGCTCTGCCACTACGTCCCAGATATCTGAACAATCCCTTTCCATGTTAAATGTATCGTGGACACTAGACGGCGCAGCCGCAATGGCATTGCACGTGGTGATTCGGCAAATTGCGCATTTCCCCAACAATGTTCATCATGATTGTCGTTGTCATTGGCTGCTCATAGGTGTCCGTTTGCTGTAGTACGAATAGACAAATAGATAGGAATTCCCTTGATGTGCACCTCCTGGATGCTGTAAGACTGTGACCTGCAAGGGCGAGCGAGTCAGGGGGAATGGATGGCATTGTGGGATGCGGGCTCCTTCAGGGAGGTGTTTCGCAGGCCAAAGCTCAAATGACATTGTCAGACTTGACTTCATGGCCCAGAAATCACAGAATCTAAGGCGAGATTTCAAATGACAACGGTTCTTGCTCCCCAATCGACTCGCTTCTCCGCTGCCCTCCACTGTGCCTGTCCCCTCACTTCCCACTGCAGAGATATCGCGTCTTCAAACACCCATGCATGGCTACAGAATCAAATAAGCAGCTGAATTCCCCGTAAACGTCTAGACACCACGCAAACCTGGAGATACAATTCGGACAAGGCACAAAGACAGTGGAAACGGGTAACCATCGGACACCGTTGAATTGCCCTCATCGATTTTGCTTCCCCCACAAACCCCACAAAGGGACACCAACAAAACGAAGAAGGCTGAGGGACAGCGAGAAAGTCCCTAGTACAGTAAGCAGCCATGAAGGACCTTGTCGACGCCCGCTCATGACAAGGTAGTCGGTCGCAACACGGGCAGCTTCCTATCATTCGATGCACATTTCTGGCACCTACTCCTCTGCGTCGTTGCATTGTACATAGAGCTGGGAGAAACAGAGAAAGAGGCGGAATCGCGGGACTGAGTATGGCACCGACAATACCAACGACGCAGATCGCCGCATGGCTCGAGAAGCCCCAGCCCGGCGCGCGGCTTCAACTCAGGAATGATATTGAGGTGCCATCCCCTAAAGAAGGTGAGGTGCTAGTGAAACTGGAATATACCGGCTTCTGGTGAGCAATTTCACTGTGTTGCTGTAATTGCGAACCGCAGTCTTGCAGAAGACTGATGCTTTTCTTTTGCAAAGCCACTCAGATGTACACAGCATCTATGGTGAAACGCCCATGAGTACCGACATCGCGGGCCACGAAGGTGTAGGGCATGTGGTGGCTCGTAAGTGCCTTGTTGTGTGTTTGAGTATCGAGGTTGACAAGTTGCAGTTGGACCCAATGTCCCCGGAGAGCTGATGAATGCCAGGCTCGGGATCAAGTCAGTCACATTCCACCCCTTTTGTAGGTGGAGGTGTGTTGGACTATGGCTGATACTGGAGCAATTACTCCGTGCACAGGTGGCTGTACAGCACATGCGATACGTGCGAGATATGTGCCATGAATCCCACCGCCTGTCCCAACCAGATCAACGCGGGACGAGTGAGTCCTTTCATGGAAGCTACATCCCACCTGACTGTTCGGATGGTGCTGATTTGAGTTTGTCTCTAGAACACAAGAGGCACCTTTCAACGTAAGCTCCGCCCAACACTTTTTCCGGGGGATTTCCCGACTGACTTCTGGAAAGAGTACATCGTTACCCCTGTCAAGCATGCCACCAGGATACCGTCGGGACTGAAGTCTGAGATTGCGGCTCCTTTGCTTTGCGGTATGTCTCAACAGCTGACTCCGATGATCTTCTCTGAGTTGTGATGAACTAGCCGGCTTGACCATGTATTCGGCGGTGGCAAAAGCAAGGGTGCGTCCGGGAGACTGGGTTCTGATTCCGGGTGCGGGAGGAGGACTAGGGCATATGTAAGTCCTCCCTTGTCCCATAGCATGATGTGGCCACCACAAGTAACATCCTGCAGCGGTGTCCAGATAGCCGCCAAACGCGGATACAAAGTGATTGCCATCGACGCTGGGGAGTCCAAGAGGGAACTGTGCACGAAGCTCGGAGCAACTGTTTTCCTCGATTTCAGGACAGATTCCGTCTGTGCCCTTTCTCCGTGAGCATTGAAGCCAGTTACTCATCCGAATTGACAGATTGAAGAGGAGGTGAAACGCCTAACCAACGGATACGGGGCTCATGCCGCCATCGTCCCGGTCGGAAGTGACGCTGCGTATGATCAAGCACTGAAGCTGCTTCGAAATCTTGGAACCCTGGTGTGCATCGGTTTGCCCAAGTCTGGGTTGGGACTTCCGATCTCGCCGTTTATGATGTGTGTCAGAAGTGAGTTATTGCCAGCCCATGCCCCGTGGCCAAAATCCACTAGATTCAACGCAGGTGTCTAACACTTGTGGAAAGGTCTCAATATAGTAGGATCTTCAGTCGGGACTGCGCAGGAGATGGATGAGTTGCTTGAGATGGCTGTCAAGGGAGAGGTGAAGCCCGAGATCTCCGTACTTGAGTTCGATCAGATCAACGACATCATGGGAAAGCTTGAGAGGTTCGAGATTGAAGGGAGAGTCGTACTGAGACTCCCTGAGTGAAGCAGAGCGCCATGTGGAGCCAGTCACAGAGGTACCGGTACAAAATTAAAATCGCTTGTATATATGTTTTCTCTTTCCAAATTCTGTCACGCAAAGACCCCCTTAGCACAACAAGGGCGAGTACCGAGTTCGAATCCCGTTCACACCACAATCTGGGTCCTGTCAGGTCAAACCTAACTCCGGGTTAGCAGGCATCAGGACCCCGATTCGAATCCTCCTCCCTCCCTCGATCGATCGATCCGACGACATCAACCACTGTAGTATAAAATTCGTAGTAAAACCGGGCGAGAAAAACCAACCCTGCAACAGGGCGAGTTTTCCTTATCACAGACCAGCAGGTTGAGCTGTTCTGTGATAAGTTTTTTGCCATTTTGGTCAGAGGTTCAAACTTGAGTGTGAGAGTGTTTTTGTTTTTGAACGGGGCCTTTTTGATTTGCGTGTGTGAGGGCCGGATTGTGCGAGTCTCGACTGTCACAATACTCAAGGGAGGGAAAGTATGGCGCGAGGCTGAATTCAACTCTGCCGAAGGAGCTCTATGGATGAAATCCTGGTTACGTTGAGACGCAACTGCGTGAAGGGTGATGAGCAAGAAAGACGAAGTCAGGGCTCGAAGCCGGACCAACTGTTCTATCTCCCTCACTACCGGACCATGATGTTCACTTGGGCCTGTTTTCTGCTCTTTCCATCGCAAATATCCACTTTCGGAGAGCCATCTCAAATAGGCCATGGTCGCGAACGCCGGTATTGTGGCGGTGGTGAAGACGATCCTTGAAGTTTCCATGGCCGAATGGGACCGACTGCCAGGATGTCACTTGCACATGACTTTCCCTTGGGTTCGCGGTATTTAATGCGGCGCAGGTCTGAATAATGACTCCAGGTCAATGTCAGAGGTGTCTTGTTGTGTTATTGCGAAGCTAGTACGTTGATCCTTTGCCTTATGATCTTTTTTAAGGCTGACGTCCGTGGAAATGGATAGCCAAACAAATGATCAAGCAAGGTCAACGCCTGTAGGTTGTTTCCCTCGGTACTCCTTTCGGCCGAACAACCGAGTCCTGGTTCAGTGAGTATTCTACTTGCACGCACAAGAGCATCAGCACTGACATCTCCCAGGCTTGTAGAAAAGGTTGCGACAAACTCACCAGACAGTGTGCTGACCCTCACAAGAATGGTAGTTGTTGACAGCATGGACGAGCAAATCCTGGGCGCCAAAGTTGTAAGCGGCTCCCGCTCTATAGAAATACTTGGGTTGAATAGCGATTGTGATCATCGAGGCCTGGTATGTTACAAATGTCTTGAGAGGAGAAAAGTGTTTCCTGGTTAGACTACATAAGAGCCCGGACGATACCAGGGGTGAGTACGAGATTCTCAGTAGACTAATTGACCAAGGATAAGGGACTTGGAATGCTCCTTGCTCACAAAGTCTCCCCATTTTTTTGGCCGGCGAATATAGTGCCTTACCTCGACCACCTCGAATCACAACGCATAGCGGAATAACAGGGACCGGTCCCCGAGCTTTGCTAGCTCATCATCGGTATGTCGAGACCGAACTTCCTCCTCTGAGACCCTTGACCTCGAGCTGTTGATGCGCTTGTAGGATGCCTCTAGAATGAGGGCGGCAGCAATGGCTGAGATTGCCAGCGCGAGACTGGTACCAAAGCCCGTCGCATAGCCAGGCTTTTCTTCTTCAAGGTATATGTAACTTCCTAGGATACCTCCCAGGTTGCTGAATGCCACGCCAAATGCAAGACCCATGGCTCTTCTGGATTGTCCTGCCAAGTTGGTAGCCAACCATGCACAGCCGGCTGGGTTGCAAGGGTATTGCCCAATGCATACCAAGAAGACACCAACGTAACAAGGTGCGATTTTGCTGGTGATGTTGGGCGCGAAACCAACGATGATGGCGAAGCCGAGGACCATCAGTGACAACGGTCCAACCAGGAAAGGCATCCGCCACTGAAACCTGTCTGAGAAACGTGCAAATGTGTATGCGCTGATGGCTCCAGCCACATAGGGAGGTATGGTCATCAACTGTGCTTGCGAGGATGTGTACCCCATACTCTTGGTGATACTGGGCATGGTGAATTTGAGGCCTGCATTTGAAAGAGACTTAGGTCGGGACGAAATTGAGCATGACAAGCATTTCGGAAGAGGGATGAAAACAAGCAAGCCATCCAAAATCGACTCACCATAGGCACATCCAACCACAGAAAATAAAATCCAAGATTGAAGATACAGCTTATAATCGGTCAGAAGAGAGAACAAGTCTCCCCATCGGAATTTGTTGTTTGACGCCTCTTGTGATGCTCGGCCGCCCTCTTTGATGGTGATTTGGATGTCGAGGAACCTGATTTCCGACGGCGACAACCAGCGACTGGACAATGCCGGTGTATCAGGCATCACCAATGCGCAAATCAACCCCAGAAAGACTGTTGCGAGCCCTTCAAGTATGAAGATCCAAGCCCATCCCGGCCGATTGCCTGTGCAATATGGGTCAGCGGCTCACGCCCAACTCCGTAAGTGATTCCTTTGCCACTTACCGACGCCGTCCATCTTTGCAATAGCAAAAGCGAGCAAGCCTGAACAGGCACCTGAAAAGGCACTTGCACAATAGAAAAGGGCAATCCTGGTCTGTAGATGTGCGGCGGTATACCATCTTGAGATCAGATAGACTTTCGAGAAGGGTTAGCACTTGGCGAGCGAGGGTATTCTTGTGCCCAACTGAAGAGGGAGAAATACTTACTTGCCGCAGGGAAGAAACCGGCCTCTGGAATGCCCAACATGAAGCGACAGGCAACGAGACCCCCAAAGTTGTTCACAAATCCTGTGCATGTCATGACAATGCCCCATGATAGCACCAGGATTGACATGTACATCGACGGTCGTCTGAATTTCTTCAGAAGGATGTTGCTTGGAACCTCCAGCAAGATGTACGGGATGAAAAAGACACTCAGACTACCAAGGCTCCGCGTCAGCGATTGTCAAAGACATACAAAGCTCGGGAATGTCGGGGAAGTTGCTTACGCAATGTTATACTTCACACCAGTCAATTTCAAGTCTTCCATCAATCCTTCGATCTTTGCATTGCCAATATTGGATCGATCAAGGTGCGAGATCAAGTACAACATGGCCAAAGTTGGGATCAGCCTCATGTCAACCTTCCAGAGCAGTCGCTTTCTGTCCTTTTCAGGAAAATCTCTGTAGAACTCGGCATCTTCGTCAGAAATACCAAGGTTGCGATACTCGTTGGTGGCAGTTTCCACCTCAATCGGAAGAAGCTCAGTAATCTTTTTCGCCATTGTCATGGTCAGTGGGATGCTTGACAGGATACTAGTACTTGTTATTTTGGGAGAAGTTTTCTTTTGAAGCCAATGTCCAATGCAGCCTCTGGAAATGGAGAGCCTATATATACATATCCACTGCTTACAGGCTTCCGCTTTGGTTCTATAGCGGTATAGAGATCCCCGTGGGGGACTCCGCAGACGGTCCGCTCTCCTCAAAACGGTTCGGCCAGTACAGAGTCCCGTTCTGTCGTCGAATTTCACCGGAATCCCTATGGTATATCGCCGAGTTCGTCGTTCGGCTCTTGACGGTGCCGTCCATCAGAACCGAAACGCCTCGGCGCAGGAACCCTGGGACTCGACCCGCGTCCTGTCAACTTCGTCTCTCCAAGGTAGAGTCTGCCAGATTTCTGACCTTCAGCCCAAGCAATCTTGCCGTTCGCCCGGTTAGTACTCGGCGTCACAACGGACCCCAAGGGTCTCGGGTGGTCAGCCATAGGCGGGTCAATGGTAGCGAAATTTGACCGAAAAAAATAACCTATTAAAAGCAATATCTTAACGTTCTTGAATATCGCAGCGGACCAAGTAGATAACGCCACAAGGTCATCTGATGCGCTAGTCTCAAACAGGTCGCAGACCGATCAGGTATACCGCTGTCAATCTAGCAAGCCGAATCAGATCAATCCTGCGAGAGAAATGTGGAGCTCGGTTAATGACTAAGAGAGCATACCTATCTACCGAGAAAGATTGGCGAAGAGGAAGTTGTTAGATGCCGACAACCGAGCATTAGCCGCTCCTTCTCTCCTTGCTCAAGGACAAAGTGGCACAGACACGAACACGAATACGGTCAGCTGCCGAAGGTGACAGGAGGTAGTGGATGGGGTTACGAGACCGAGGTGGAGAGCCTTGATGCATAACAACGGGAGATTTGATCTGGTGCGCGCCTGGTGGAATTCATTGTCACGGGCGCTGATGACAACCACTTCCCACTCATGAAGCCATTTCTCATGGGACGATCGATTGGTACGGGTCCTGCTACTGACGAGGAATATGGGAGAAAGAGATGAACAAAGGCTGGATAAGTGCGTGTCATGAGCAGACTTTCAGTAGACAATCCCAACACCGGCTCATGCAATCCCGCAGTATGGGCACTACCACAATAAATCTAGAATCTAATGTCTAATGTCTCTGCTCTATGAAAACCGCTCCTGGCGTTGCTTTCCTTGGTCCAGCTGCACTTGGTCGCAGTCAAAGTATGAAAAGCATATGTGCCGGGAAACCATATTCTGACGGGCTCCATGAACCGATCGCTATGCTCTGTCGGCAACTCTGCGGTCGAATGAGCAGGATATCGCCTGCCTCCGAGAGAACAACTGTCGTTTCAGCCGAGGAGTTCACTACGCATTGAGGGCGACGTGTGTTGTTGGCGACCATTTCAGTGCTCAACATATCCACTACAGTGACCCGGTTCTAGAATTACCGTGAACAAAGGGAATATCCCCGAACACAAACACACACACACACAGAGAGAGAGAGAGAGACGCCGAATATCGCCGAGGCCGATCCCAGTCTTGAAGTCAGGAACATTCAGTCTCCTTCGGCAGCCACCAAATAGGTGTGGAGCTCTGCGAAAGTTGATACTCACGATCTCAAGAGCGAGCTAGCATTATTAAGGATTTCAGAGTAGAGACAAGGTCCATTGCCACTTGAGGCCAAGTAAAGCCAAGCCAGGGACAGATGGAGATGGCGATGGCCATATCCACATCTTGGGCGACGTGCTCCTTGATCTACACCCTCAAGTGCAACCATGGACGTCCAGGCGAGTCCAGGGCACCTGCAACTCATCGAGTTTCTCGACACTGTGATCCTGGTCAATAGCTGCAGGCAGACATGTTTGGTAGGAAGAGGCTGCAAGATTTCACACTGCCGAGGCAGACTTTTACTGGCTGTGAATGGTTTTGTGAATGCTCTAAGCTCTTGCAGAGCAATTATTGAAAAATGGACCGACAAAGGCTGGTCGCCAAGACGTAGAGGCAATTGAGATGTGATATGGTAATAATCTTTCTGTTTACATCCCTTGATACGTGGCTCCAGAGAAGCCCTGGAATAGCCGGGCCAATAGGATCCCGCGATGTTGTGATCGAAATCACGACCACCGCTCATTTTTGGACTAGACACGAGCGTCGAGTATTTTCGCCTCCTCTTTCAAACCCCATGCATCTCATGCATCTCCTGTCGCATTCCGAGGGTCGGTCACTAGCTTCCATTTGTCTCCTGCTGGTGTGACGCCCCCTTTGCAATATGTCGATACAAGACCGTGAAATCGAGATCTCCGGACTCGGGCAGCACGCTTTGATAAGTGGACAAGGCGGTTGATCCAAGAACCAAATTAGCCTTTGATGTCTCCCCCAGCTTCACCGCCAGGGCAACGTCTTTCGCCATAAGACTTGCCTTGAAGCCTGGAGAGTAGCCTCTGGTGGACGGTGCAGTTGGGACTATGCCCGGCACAGGCTGACTTCGCTCGATGATGCCATTCCTGGCTGCCCCTGCACAGATGACACGATGCAGGATTTTGGGATCAAGCCCGGCACTCACGCCCAGGTGCATTGCTTCACACGCTGCAATGTTCATAACGCCAGAAAGGTAGTTGTTGCAAGTTTTCGCAACCAGCCCCGAAGCAGGATATCCGCAGGGAATGATTTTGTCCTTGTCGCCCATGCAACAAAGTAATTCCTTTACGGTCTCAAAGTTGCCATCAGAGTCTGTGATGCCAACGTAGAATGCAAGTGTGCCAGCAGACGCCCCATAGACTCCTCCACTGACCGGTGCTGCATAAAATGACGCAGTTGGCGCGACCCCCTTCAAAAAATCTCGGACAGCGAGACTGCTGTCGACATCGATGGTCGAGCTGTCGATCAAGATCCTGCCCTCGAGACACTCGGAATCGAGATGCACGTCAGGTCCCGTGTAGACTGATCTTACATGATGGCCTTCCGGAAGCATTGTGATGACTGCATCCTAAGGGGGGGTTCTTTTTCAGCTCCTCAACCATCGCCTGGTTCGGAGTCAGTATTCTTACCGATCTGCTGAAAACTTCCCTGGCACTATTCCCTCTCTCCACCTTTTCGGGAAATTCTCCAGCAATCTTTTCCACCGCAGGCGACGAGATGTCGAAGACAACCAGCTTAGTTTCAACTGGAAGCTTTCTTGCCAGATTTTGGGCCATAGGATACCCCATTGCCCCAAGGCCGATAAGGCCAACGCGCTGAAAGTCGGTCAGGCCCATCTTCGATGGCTCACAGCTTCTTGGTTGATGTGCCGCTATAAAGATAGAGATCAAGACCCAAACTTCCAAACACCTAACATATATGTACCAACCAAAGTTTCGACGCTTCCCAGAGCGGTGATTAAGCCTCCAGACTCGGGCCGAAATAGATGGCGGGCAGGGCGGCAGAGGAACTGTTGCTCTTACCGACAGGGAATACGGGCACTCTTCGTACACGACAAGGCACCCTCTGGCTGCTGCAAGAGGGATTGCCGACTACGAACACTTCGACTATATCTAGAGACCCTGCTCGATATCTGAACAAGATGGGTCTCTAATATTCAAACAGGACACATGATGAGCTTGATTTGAACCTTCTCCTACCTCAGGAGGAAAGAGCAGCATTGCGTCCACGGAAGAAGTGTGCTAATCGTGATCATCCTTGCTGGACCCTGGCCACTGCCAGGGATAACCCGAGCCCTACATGCAGTTGTTTTGCAGGTAGCCATTTGGGTAACAGCCTCTCGAGCCACCATGACCGAGCCGCCTAATCTCGGCAGTCGGCTCTTTCAAAAAAGCTGCAATGCAAGCCGAAGTGAATCGAGCACGCAGACTGGCGCAACTGGGTTGTCGACGGGACCGGTTTCCTCCAACGACAACCGACCAAGGCTACATGCGAGGACCGTACCCCGGTATTTAGTAAGCTCGCGCTGCAAAGTGGCGGTTCGAATTCTAGCCAGTCCGTCATGGGAAGCCTAAGCCATGATAGCAACACTTGGTGGTTTTCACCAAGTGTTGCACGATATATCCACCCAGGTCAACGGCCGAGTCGGAAGGCATCTCCAAGCAGCTCGCTGGGCACCTCTGCCCATGTACGAGCGATCACTATTAGCGCTAGCGCCAGTGGTTTGGACATGATACGGACCGTAAAGAAGCATTTGGAGAACATCAATCTCATGTAGCAAATCAAAAGTTTGATGTCGTGGCTGGAGGTGTCGAAGCCCCCCTTTTCGACCGGTAACAGCTACTCCGCCTCCCATCTCCTGTATGACTCCCCAGTGAATTTGCGCAACGAATCGCAGCTAGGGAAAGCAAAGCCTTGCAATACATGGGTGTATTGACAAAAGTGATTCCTACTTTCTGCGGAGCTGCGTTCGGTACGTCCAATCCCCGTCAACAACGGCGATCTCATGTCATCTTGTTGACATGTTCAATGGTGGCCGATTGCCAAAGTGCCTTGGTCGGTATCCGGGATTTCTGCTCGGCAGCATTGATTATTAAATGTGATCAAGAGACGTTAGATTGTCAAAATTGACCCAAGTCGTACAGTCGAAAGCATCCATGTCAAGGCATTCGTCATTCAGGATCCATGGAGTGACCATGTCAAAGGTGTTTGGGTTTGGATGATCAGCTTGTCCGGCCAAGCTGGGAAACACGGAAACATTGCTGGTCGGTAGTTGAACCCCGCAAAAGATGTTAGAGAAAGGGAGCAACGACTGCAGGATGTGGTTGGGGAGGTGGCTTCCTTGAATAGGACGTTCAGGCTCCCGATGCCCCATTACATCGTTCGACCCTGTCTCTGGACAGATGGTGGAAGCCGCATTCTGCTCGAGGTACTGTAGACGAATCAATACAGCCTTCGCTCCAGGCCATTTCAGACTCATGGTCGCTAACATGCTGTCTTTGATGATGCCCAGATCTTCCCGTAGCCTGTCCGATTGCGTCGAAGGTAGCCGTAGCGCCGCAATCAATTGAGCTCCCGCCACCATCGCAAAATAGTCATGGATTGGGAGCAGGAAATTGATATCGTCTCGATGTCCCATTTCTTCGTAGAGGCGAGCAATGCAGGAGGCTGCAAGAAGGTTCCCCTGGTCTGCAACATTCTTCTGATGCAGATTCCCAGGTAGACTCAAAAAAAGAATGACGCAAACGCAATACATGATATGTAGTTCCGAGCCTGGGCGAGAGTACTGCAGTCTCCTACCTCGATCTTGGAGCTTGAACCGTGGATTTAGCTCTCGGACCCACGCTTGAAGGCCAGTGACAATGTCTGTGACATCAAAGTGACTTTGATGGCGTCGCTTTATGCTTGCTTCCACGATGCTCGCCATGATCACCACAAGCTTGGAGAACTCAATGAAGCATAGGCTAGCATCATTCAAAGTCTGAAAGTCTTCCAGCTTGGGTAACTCGATGTCAAAATCCTCGGCTCTGATCGGCAGAGGACGTCCAAAGCATACGGCTTGCAGCACATTGTTTCCCTTCTCAGGTGTCAGCTGTAAAGCGACAGTGATCTGGCTAGCAACTCACATAGATTGTCCACCAGACTCGTCGACTAACGCCGGTGTCAGACCTGCCACTGTATGTCGTACGACGGTGCAGACCCATCTGGATGGCCAACCTCAATGAAACCCCATTCCAGTGCCACGGGCTGTCCAAGGTGACCTTACTTGGTGTGCACATGCTCCAAGAGCTAAGAAGGCACATGGCTTTCAGCCTGTTGAGATTGTCAGGCTCGACCTCAAGGTTGAGAAGTAACTTGGCGTTTCGGTAATATGGGAACGCGAGCGGACCGGGCGTTTTCTTGTTGTGAGGATGTCGGAGGAGAGACCCTACCACGAGAACCGCCAGACAGAGCAAAGTTGATCCGTGGCCAGGAGACAATAAGTCCGTCTCTCCAATGACCGGCAGCCGATGAAAGGCGTGATCGCGATACAAGTCGTGCATTGCTCGAATGATGGAATCTCCGGGAAGGACCAAGGCTTCGCTGGCCCTGAGGATGTTTTGCGTGAATTCGTCTAGGTTGTTTGGCAATTCAGAAATATGTGCCTCAAGAGCGTCAACCTGATTTTTCGCACATGACTCCACGGCCAGGTGAGACTGGTCGCCAACGAAGCCAGTGCGACTCGGCGTCTCGGTGGAGGCTGACGTCGCAGCCTCGTCAGGAAGAGGTGCAGCATTGTGTGGCCTGTCCGGCCCCCGGATCTCATACAATCCAGGTGATGGCAATTGGCCATCCGAGCGCATGGAGGGATTTTCGGGCACAGGAGCCAGCCTCCGTTTCTTTCTTCGAGCACTTTCTCGAGGCTCACAAGTCTCGTTGTTGCGAACACAGTTGTGACAGCTACTAGGCCGCGACTCTCCAAGATTGCATTTGACCTTCGTCCATCAGCTTAGCCCCTCACCAATCTCGACGCATCATGACGACTTGACACTGACCTTTCGCATGTGGCAGGCTTTGCAGACTATTCGTGCTCGTTCCCGGGGGGGCTGGTCTCCGCCCATCTTTACGCCAGCGTGTACGTCAAATCTTAGGACGCTCTTGCAACCCTGTGGGTGTGTCGCGCCGTGCCTGTCCGCCCAATGTTTGAGAATTTGGTGGTGGCAGGTCTACAGTGTCTGGAATGTTGACGTTCGTTGTGAAGTTTATCAGATAGCTTGGCAGACAACCAGTCATGGCTGAATTGATGAGCAGCGAAGCGGCTATCATTTGATAGGCATACAAGGGCCGCCAGGGTGATGATGGAGCCACAGACTACGCCGATTATCACGCAGGAAGAGATGCCCAGCACCAGCTCAAAATCATTTGGGATGCTCGGAAGAGCAGTAGTAGTGTACTAAGCCTTTTATGTACTCGTACCTCGGCAGACCAGGACATCGTTATTCCCCCGCAACCAGGTGTTCGACCTCCCTCCTGGGGGGTGGGTCTTCAGTCATATTGGACCAAGAACCACGATGTCAGAGGGTGGATGACGAATTCAGGTTACCTCTTGATAACGAACATTGAATGTCGTTCAGCAATGAGAGCGGGGATTATTCCAAACCTGCTTGACTGATTACCAGAGACAGGTGCATACAGCGAATCCCCACTTTTCCATTGATGGGCATCAGACACCATTTATCTTCATTTCATGTCTCGCTCATCGCAGACGTGAGAGATCAGGAATGGATCGACAGCAAGAACTTGTTCCTTTCGACGCATCCGCATGCCAAAGCATGCTCCTGGAATCTGGACACTATTTTGTAAACGTCCTTGCCCATCTGGTCGTCCGGCTGGTTGGACACGTCAACTGGAGCGACCGCAAACAAGTTGACAAAGTTGTTGCTCTTGGCCGCTGGGAGCTCTTTGGCCAAGATCTGATGAGCCAGTGCCAGTGATTGATCATTCAAAGCCCGGAAGAAGTCGACAACTTCAAATCGAAGTGCTAATTCGTCCATCGCTTGAAGACAAGTAGATAGGTCGTGGACGGCCTGAGGTGAGCATTGCATGGAAGTTTTTATCGTCAGGTAATTCATCGTCAATGGTACTGATAGACATATGACCCTGAAAATGGCATTAGACCAGTGTGCCAGGAAAAGGAATCGTGAGGACCAGCTTACGCGTGTGTGTTCAAAAATCGCATGGCTTTGCGCTTTAGAACGTCTGAAATCACATGTGTTGTTCTCAACGCCGATTCCTTGAGAGTTTGGTGTGATATTTCGCATATCTTCGCCACCCACGAGCTTAGATGGGAATTTTCGGCCGAACTCAAGGTTCTGTGGAGGGCTGAAACGACGTATCTTCCAAGTTTGGGTCAGGACACGTCACATGGGAAGCAACAAGGGAGCTTACTCGAACAATAACCTCAACATCGCTTCCGACACAAACAGTGGGAAGTTAAGAGGATTCGTCGAAATGTCATCCACGGCGTCGGCCATGAGTAATCTTTGGTGACGCGACTTCCAATCGCCCAGTAGCTGCTCGATTCGATCTGCGTCTCCCATCAACGGGTGATTACTATGGCCAGATGACACAGTCACGGTCTGTGCCAGGGGGCTCCGCCAGGTAAGAAGTCTACAAAGAGGCTCGGAGTCTGCGGTGAGCTCGCACGATGCCAGGAGCACCTGAATCAGCTTTTGTTTGAGTTCGCAACTGACAAACCAAGAGAACCGAAGGTCTTCTTCCAGATCTTCCACCGAAAGCCGAGGGACAACGTCCTGAAGCTTTGGTACGCCGTTGGAGCGGTTCCCAAGTCTGATGTATCCAATCCTCGTAGAGAAAATAGCCCTCAGGCGTTTCCATTGCGCTCCAATGCGTTGCTGTTGGCATGGTGATACAGAATCTGGCGAGAAGATTGCTTGTTGAAGTATATCGTGGGCCTTCAAAATCCAGTACTCGTTCTCAAACATAGCGTCTGGGTATTTTCGCTGAGAACTTAGCAACAAACAGCATCGTACCCGACTTAAGTCATCATTTTCACAGTCTGCTTCGTATAGGACCTAAATGCGTGACACGATGTCAGTGGGAGATGTACATTGATGCGAAAAATTGTCGCTCAATTTGGCACGCTGGTAAAAGGTATCCCGCATCTTGCGAACACTGGCAAAGGATGCGACTTTGGATTCCTCCTCCGTGGCATGTGCACTACCAGCGAAAAGGAGAGCATTGAGATATGCCAAGCTCATTGGGCGTTGTTCCTCTGCCCATGTTACTTCTTGGGGATGAAGGAGGGCCCAAATCTCCCATTCGCTTGCAATTGGGGACGCCCAGTAGCTGTAGCTAAAGTAGTAGCCAAGCAGGAGCTCGATAGTTGCAAGGGGAGGAACAGACAACGCGTGTGCTTCAGCCACAGACGCCGTTGTGTGGGAGGGCTTGCCACATGGACACCACGCGGCAATCCAATTGGGGATTGAGGCCCTTCTTGAGTCGCAGCAGTGGTTTCTGGCCCTGTTCATGTCTGAACTAGAGACAAAGATGCCAGAGGGAGACGGGTCAGAGCTCTGGAGAGGGTTATTGTCTTCGCTAGAGACTGGCTGATGGGTCGAAAAGGTGGACAAGGAATTTTCAAAGGCTGGATCGGTGTGGAGTTCTGGTAGAGGACCAGAAATATCCAGCATAGCCAGAGATTGCTCTGACTGTCGGTTGGAAACGTCCTGGGAGCTCCCGACCTGCCAAAGTTGCCTGTTCGGTGAGGTGTGATTCACCAGATCGAGAAAACAGTCAGTGCTGACGTTGGCCATGTCCAAATCCAAGATTTGCTCCTGAAGAAAGCCATGCTGCCTCGGACCTGCGCCAGCCAAACTGCTGGACTTGCGAGGACGTCTAGCATGGTTTCTTCATATTAACATTGCAGTCCCATATCATGGAGTAACTCTTTATTTACCTCCTCTCGTTGACGATACACTCTTGCTCATCAAGCACGCAGTTGTTGCACCGGTCGGGGAAACGAGTGACGGCGTTGCATCTCACTTTTCGAGAGCGACACCAAAGACAAGCTGGTGAGAAACTGTCTCAGTACAGGAGACCCTCTTTGCTTGCACTGTGGACGACTCACCATTTGCAGCACGTCGCGGCTTTATCCGCGCAGGAGTGCTGCCCGTATGGCCCAGGGAATCATCGTTGCCGTTACTTGTGTCCCGTACGAGCGATGAGCGCGACGGGGGATTGTCCATTTGTCCAACAATCTTGTCTCCGCCGATGCCTTTGACCAAAAAAAAAAACCCTTACTAGTCTTGCTCGGTTCTCAACAGCAAAATGATTCAGAAGCTGGGTTACGGAACCCGGGAAGTGCAGATGGTCGGTTAAGTCTCCTCTGGGGTAGCAATGGCCACGACGCGGGGGTGTTTGGGCTTGCTCCCATCCCTCGTCCCCTGAAACTCTTTCCACATGGCCGAATGAGCCAGAGTGCATGGCCCAGACAAAAATGGACCAACAAGGACGACCCTGGTGAGTATGGCAGCAGCCATCTGGCAAGCAGAAAGAGTGGGCGGTCTCTGATACAAGTGCTGTGCATTGGCAATCTTGCCTGCTGGTGCCACTCCTTACGATTGAACCGACTACCGGACGCGAGTACACCCTGATAACCGCGATTCGAGTAGAGTCACACTTACCCCTAGCCTTATTGCCGACCAACCGCTTTGCCGGGGCGGGAGAAGAGACTCAGTTCTGGACCATTCTTGAGCGTGAAAACTTTCACCCAGAGCATGGCTGAGAACTTTCTCACTAGGAAAGAAAGCCTGGACTGCTCAAAGTTCTCCGGCACGCAAATGATCTGCCGACTCAAACATTTGATAGTTCTCAAGTCAGGCGGCCACAAAATCTCGGCTTTGGACGTTGAGAACGAGATACTCAAGAACCCAAAGGTAGCAGGAACCATCGTCGTGGGACTTGAAGACGAAGAATTCGGGCAGCGCGTGGCTGCGGCGGTAATGTTGAATAAATGTACGTTTTCACTGTCGTGTTGATATCTTGGATTGGTATTGCTTTCCTTTTCGTTGGTAACGGTTAACCCCGTTCTCGGTCTACGATCCCTGTGTAAGCGCATGAGGTAGGAGACGATGGCAGACACGCAAGAGCTGATTTTCATAATTCACATAATGTCGACGAGTGGGCATCAGGCTATCGGCGCGTCGTCTCCACAGGTTTATATAGCAGCTTTCATGCCTTGCAAAGCCACCTGAAAATCTTTCAAAAAGTCCCAAAACATCTTTTCACGCCATCCTTTCTCCCTCCAATTATTCGCTTTGGCCGGAAAGAGCTCAGCGTGGGACCTGACCGCCCCAGAGTGAGCGTAGAGGAACAATACGTTGTCGTCGGCGTCGAATTCCTGAACTTTCGTGATAGTCTTGATTGCTTCTTCAATAGAAAGACCCATCGAGGGCTCAAAGAATGGCTGCTTTGGGCCGCGGCCTCGTTTGTCGTTCAACGCCTCAAGTTCTGCGCCGGGACAGATGACGGGGCCGAGATGAGAGGGGATCTCGACGTGGATTTCCCTGGGAAGAGGGATGTATTCCGACGGGCGAATCTCCCCCCCGTTGTGACACAAGTCGCCTCCAAGAAAGATGAACGTGTCTGGATCTTGAGTTGTCCGCACTAGTCCACTAAGATGGCCGACTGCATGACCTGGTGTGTCGAGAAGATAAAATGACCCGTCTTCGAATAGATCCCATGCTTTAAACTTCCCAATTTGGAGCCCTTGGCCTTCGTCAAAGTTGATTTCACGGACCTCCCGGCCACTATCAAGCCCGAATATTCGGTCAGATCACCGTGAACAATACATTCAGTACAGTAGAGTGGTAGCAGACTTACGCGAAGTCACTCTCTCTGACAGGAGCGTCGACTTTTTTAGGCCAACCAGGCCAGAAAGCAGCCTTGAATCCAGGTCCTACGATGAGCTCCGTGCTTGGAGGAAATGTCGACGGATCACCCAGGTGATCCCAATGCCAATGACTAAAGCGCGGCCAGTCAGTTCCGTACGAGATACCCTCGGTAGCGGGGTGTAGCCAGTTGTATCTTACCTCCAGATAACGTGATTGATGGACGCAGGTTCAATCTGGTGCTCTTTGAGAATGTCGGCCACATGCTTCTCTGATTGAATATCCCAGTTACGTTTCTTCAGGTTGTCTGATATTGGGGGTGCGAAGTCCCTCCAGTTTGGCGGTACTCCGAGATCAAAAAGAGCCTTGCGGCCGGTAGCGCTCTCAATCAAGAACGACCAAGTTGGAACCTCCGGCATGAAAGGCATTCCCTCTAGCGGTGGCCTCATTAGAAACTCCGTGGGGAGTTTATTGATTCTCGTCGTCGAGTCGATGATGCTGATATCAGCACAAGCGCCTGCGGGGACATCGAAGAGTTTCATGATTGATGGACTTGATATTGACAATAGTGATGATATGCGGTTGAAAAACGAGAGAGAAAGACACACCAGCCGTGGTACCCATAGCCATGTCAAAGAACTGGCTGTTTGCTGACCGCGCCTCGGCAAGAATGATTCCACCCCTTGGATGGCTTTGCTGAGCCACCGGCTCAGGCCCGTTGTTACTTGGCCGGGAATCGCTAAGGCGCCATGGGGAGTGGCATCACGAGGTCTGCTAGAAAATGGACGCGTATTGTACGAGTAGATGGCTTCTACGCACAAACCAACCTGTTACGTGTTGTGATGTACGGGACAATGCCCAGGGACCCGACCTATAGTCCAGGAGCTGTGGGATGAGACTCAAGTGCACTGACTCTAGCACTCTTGACACAATATCACATTTTCTGCCAGTAATTATGGACTCGAAGCGTTTCTGATTTGCATAGACCAGTGTACCTGGTATTTTCACCAACGCCTTGTTCTACAAGGCTGTACGGAAAGCGGTTGCCAACTACAAGACAAGTCAACAGATGCTCCCGAAGTACGCCTCGATGACTTACTGGATGAATTTGGATCTTTTCCGACGGCTAAGTCAGCAGCAAGGATACGAAAGAACGGCTTTTCATAGAGATTCGCAAACCTTCTCGAGATTCCAGACTCCTTCTTTCGCGTAAACATCCCTGCGGATCTCTTCGAGGACCTCTTCACGAGACGAGGCTCTGGCCACAATGCAACTGCCGGTATACTTTTTATCCTCGCCGTCGCGTGGCGGAGTGCTCAAGGTTGCTCCTAGAGACAGATGAGTTCTTCGGTTTGAGATATCACCTTGCACGCAAAGACAGAACCTACCTCCCAGCACCCAGGCTCCGCTGTCGACACGTGGCTTGAGACCATCCATATGTTCACTTCTCATCGTCAGCTTTGATTCTTGCGCAGCAAGCCTCTGAACCTTACGGCCTTGCCTTCAGCCGCTTCTCCAAAGCGCCTTCATTGTCAGGAATCAAGACAAGCCAATCGACCTTGGGAGAAGCCATCTTGTGAATGGAGAAAAGATAAAGCGAGAATCGAGTTTGAGATTGAGCGGGATTTTTGGTCCTTCAAACTTGTGGAGAGCGAGCCCTGACACCACTTCTCAACAACGACATTCTTTTTTTAAGGCTCATACGAACCACCTCCGTGACTCTGTCTAACGGTGAGCGCCGAGTAGGAACCGGTAATAGCCGGTTACATGGACAAAGATTCTGTTTACCGACGACCAGGCGATGCAGAGCCGATGAACCGAGATGCCGTCCTCCCGCCATGCCGGTATGTAATAATACCCCAGAGTTACCTTTTCAGTGGAGCCCCACTCTTGCCCTCCCCCCTGATTGGCAAGTGTGGAGCATGTTAGTTTTGAGACCATTCCTGTTCCAGGTTTAAAGGAGTGACAGTGGTAGTTTTTGTTTTTGGCGGCACTTATAGCTTCCTCTTTTTCCATCTAATCATTTTTACGCAGAGGACTGGGATACTCTATGGAGCTTGCATTTATTCTGAGTGGCCCGCCTTCGGCCCTTTGCCGTTGTATATACGCTTGGTGTCTCGTGGCTGTGTCGGACAAGTACCGTGTTCGAGGTCCATTCTCGTGCTACTGTACAAGTACGTTGGCCATTGTGGGCCTCGACATGATAGGGTTCCTATATGCTTTAGCGCCTCGCCATGTCGGTTCCTTCGTCGGTGTTAGTGGCACTTCCACCTCAGAATGCTGCGGAATCAAAGTCTCTTAGACGAAAGCCCCATCCATGTCTACCGCTTGGGTCACGCCATATATGCAAGAATCCAAATCATCCGTCATGCACGTCCCAAGGAAAAAAGGAGCTGACCCGTACTTTTGAGCCTTTCTAAGATACGGGGTCATGCACCCACATTTTTCCGGAACCTCATCATGTTCCGCGAAAGATGATTGCGGAAGATTTCCTGGAGCCAAATCGGCCAGCCGCGAATGAAAGATAATAGGCTGAAGCTTGATGGAACGATCAGTCTTCCGGAGCGCCCTCTAAAGACCTGGTTGACCACTGCGTCTGCCACCACACTTGGGTCCATGACCGAAGCGCCCATCTTGCGAAGCTCCCCTTCGTGGCCCCTCAGGATTGGGGTACTGGCAAACGATGGATGCACGATGGTCAGCTGGATACAGTCTCCATTCTCGTAACCGTGTCGGCACTCCTGGGTCAGCACTGGGAAAGGTGTCAGTTGCCGCGAAGGACCACGCCATCCAATGGCACTCACCCTCGTGGAAAGCGACCAGAGCAGCCTTGCTCGAGCAATAATCGCTGGATCCTGGCATGGAGATGAAACTCGCCATGCTGGCAATGGTAACAATGTGGCCCTTTTTGTTCTTCAACATGTTTGGGAGAAATTCTTGGACAGTCTGCCAGTGGCAGAGTAGATTCACCTTGAACATTTTCTCCACGACTTCCAAAGGCGACTTGAGAATGGGTGCCGTATTTGAAATGCCAGCATTGTTGATTAGAATGGAGGGATCGCCCACGTCCGCTTTGATGGAGGCTCCAATCTCTCCTACCTCATTCCGGTTCGTCAAGTCGCAACGGTAGTACTTCAAGTTTGGCACTGAGAGTGTCGATTAGAGTGAGCACGGCCGCGGGTTCTTCACGCGAAATGATGCCACGTACCTGATTGCAGATCTTTTGGCAGAGGAGAAACGTCAAGGATGACAATTTTCGCCCTGCCTGCGAAGCGTTCTACCATCAACTTCCCAAAGCCTGAACAACCTCCGGTCACGACAACGATCTCCTTGGTTCCGGAGAAGTCCCAAGGCTCGCCTTTTTTCGACCATGACCATCCGTTCAGGGCAAGACTGTTTCGTTCTAGTCAGTGAACGGAATTTATTTGGCTCCCCATGAAAACTTTGCAGATACTGGGAGCTTGTGGTGGCCAGTGACTGTTCCTTGATGCATTGATATCCTCAAGAACACAAACAGCGTTCCTCTGGGGGAGTTTTCAAGACAGCGTCAATTTGTCAAGAGGAAGGCCAGGAGCTGGCATGACTTACTTGGACAGTATCCAGCTCATTTTGAACGTTGGTTATGCTATGGGAAAGGCTGCACGGAAGTGGAAAAGGGCACCCGGTTGCCCAAATGCACTCTTGTTGAAAGCAGCACTCGAGGATAAAATGCAGATACGATAGAGATGGATAGTAGCAGGCAAGACAGGACATATCCCAGTCAAACTGTCCGGAAAACGAGCGGGAAATCGGAACACTGTACATGAAATGTGGAACGCACCTTCAGGTGCCGAGGAATCGATGACGAGCTGGGAAGTTTCCCTCCGAATGGTCCAGAATACCAAGTCTCTTTCTGGTCGCCCTGGACAACCCAATGCGGCAGTCTAAGCAAGAGAAATCGGAGGGAGCATGAACCTCCACTGTGTGGCTCCTTGGACTTGTCATTGGAGGGAAAGCTACCTAATTCTGAAAAGATGGCCTCGAATGTCCTGAAGACGATGCATGCTACAAAAGGACATGGAGAAGGAAGCTGGAATCCACAACTTTCCCTTCGTAAAAATTCAAACCTTCGACCCTCGACAACAGATTACAGGTTCGTGAAGTATCTGGAAATGCAACACTGAGGACCTCTCCCAGTCGTAAGTGACTGTCACCCGATCAAGGCATTGGACAAGGATTTGCGGTACGAGCAGATGATCTTTACGCCTCTCTTTGCTTGGTGAGTTGATCCAATTCGCTCCATTTTGCCGACATACCTAACGGCATCCCCACCTAGTCCTATTCTGGAAGCAACCTTCCGAGAGACTTATCCGCGGCTTCAAGGCGTAGAAGATAGAGTTGATGCGATGCCAGATGCGCAGTATGAGACAGGCTCAACAGAAGTCTTGTGATGAGTACTCGAATGTTCGTGTGCAGGGGTTGACCAGGCATCAGAGCGGCTATCATGAGCCAATCCGTCTGCATTGCGGCCATGCCAATAAATCGTTGCCATGCGAGTGTCTCAACACGGCAGCATTGTTCGGCCGGGCTGTCATACTGTATCCCCCAAAGCAGGTCACTCGCCCCAGCCCCCTTTGCCAGGGGTAAGAATCTGGGGCACCCCACTAGGAGCCCCGGCTCTCAGTGGAGCCGAGACATGCCCTCCGCATTCCTCTCTGTAGACGGTGCGATGGTATGGATATCGAAACCACTTGTGCAGGGCTCGGCACAGTGATCTTCTGTGCTCATGCCTATCAGCAGGGATCAGAAGTATCTCAGGCTCAAGCTCAATCTACTTTGATGTTCGGCTCGGAAGCTCTTGGGCCCCAGAGTATGCAGGAGATAACCACTGCTCCTCGGTCTACTCGCTCGATATGGAATAAGACTGTGTTGATTGAGAACAGGCAGCCGAACACATAAGAACGCCTGTACCATCCCTTGCTCTGACACCATCCTCCCATGCATTCAAGTGCTACTCGAGTCGATAACGCAAGACTACCTTTCATCGTTCTTTGTTACGTCAGCTTCATCAAGGTCGAATCCTCCACTTTTCGTGATGAGTGAGAAGAGAATCCTTCAGACTCAGGCACCTGGTGAAGCGGGCGAGCCGAAGAATCTTTCTACTCACGTAGAACAAACCAATGACTCACAGGACTCAGATATGAGTGCCACGCCACCCCATGACAACGACAAAGATGGTGGTGGAGTAGTAGTGCCAATCGAGAACACAGAGGACGACATCAAAATTGTGGTGAGCATGAACTGTCGGCTCGTCTTCACTCCAAGGCTGATCGTCCTGCGAAGTGGAACTACAAGAGAATCGCGAGCTTGGTCGCCATGGCCTTCCTATGGACGGGCTCTCAGATTCCAGCGTATCTCCTTGGCGGTATTCCGCCCTTGATCTATCGGGACATTGGTGGCATCGATCGATGGGTCTGGTTTATATTGGCCAACCTCCTCACGCTGGCGGCAGTGTGCCCATTTGTTGGCTCGTTGTCCGACTTGTTTGGGCGCAGATACGTTGCCCTGGTGGGAGCAGCTTTCCTGGTCGTTGCCATGGTGGTGTGCGGCACGGCCAACAATATGGACCAATTCATTGGTAAGGACTGCTCCTCCTGTCTGTGTCGTTGACGGGACTGATCTTTCAAGCTGGAATGGCACTTTCAGGTGCCGGCGCCGGTATCTGCGAGTTGACTTGCCTGGCGGGAACATCGGAGCTTGCTCCTACTCGACAACGTGGCAAGTACGTTGCTGGCCTGATCATGACGATTATCCCATTTTGCCCTTCGGCGTTATACGCCGAGCTCATCGCGGGCTATGCATCTTGGAAGTATTGCTGCTTACTGTCCGGTGTTTGGGCCTTGATCGGCTTCATTGGAGTCCTCTTCTTTTACTTCCCAGCTCCTCGGCCGAACCCGCGAGGCTTGACAAAACGACAGATCATCAGCGAGGTCGATATTGTTGGCGGTTTCCTCAGTATATCCGGCACGATTGTCTTCCTCGCCGGTCTTGTCTGGGGCGGATACCAGTACGAATGGACATCAGTACATGTCCTACTGCCAATGATTCTCGGGTTTCTACTCCTCTTCGTCGCATTCCCCATCTGGGAAGTCAAGTTTGCGAAGTTTCCAATGTTTCCGTCCAGGATGAAGCAGGAGACGAGGCTGCTTACATTGACGCTTATTATTACAGCGATATCCGGGTCCAACTTCTTTTCAATTCTTATGTTTTGGCCCACACAGGCGTTCAATGTGTATGGTCACGATCCTGTTGGTGAGATGACCCTAATTTGCCTTTGGTGTGAAGAATTTCGGACCTATAAGCTAACGTTACCGTGCCATATACTAGGTGTTGGCTTACGAACCCTTCCCATCGGTTTCGCAATTCTGGCCGGCTGTGTAGTTGTTCTTGTTCTCCTCTCGGTTCTCAATGGCCAAATTCGCTCTCTGCTTCTCGGATCGAGCATTCTAATGACCGCTGGCTGTGGGGCGCTTGCAACCGCCAATCTACACAATATCCATCAAATATACGGGATTCTCGTCGTGGCCGGTCTTGGAATTGGCGGAATCGTGGTCCCAGCCTCCATCATCACGACCATTATCTGTCCTGATGATGTGATCGCCACCGTCACTGCGCTGACATTGTCCATCCGCGTTGTCGGCGGTTGCATCGGATACGCAATCTACTACAACGTGTTCGTCAATCATTTCAGTACTCAGGTTGTCGAGAAGATTGCGGGGGTCATGACGGTCACACTTGGGGTTCAGGACCCCAATGAGATTCTGAGTGCCATTACCGCAACTTCCAACTCTCTGATAGAAGACCTTCGACTCCTACCCAGCATTGGGGACAACGACACTGCCTTTGAGCTCGTGGTTACTGCGGGACAGTTGGCATATTCGGAAAGCTATAAGTGGGTTTATTATGTGTCGATTGCATTTGGTGGACTAGCAATAGTGTGCTCCATGTTTCTCGGCAGCATCGACACATACATGAATGACCATATCGCTGCCAACGTGCAGTGATTATGACGAATGTCTTGGGGAGGAAGGTGAGGAGTTGATCAAAAGACAAGAGGTACAAAGATGGCGGAATATTGTTGGTAGGGGTCGTGACGACGAGGCAATACTCGGTGTAAATTGCATATCATCCCTAAAGATCAAAGATAGGTAGAAATTCAAGTGGGAAATGACAATCACCGGCTACTTCTTCCTCTTCACACCCCCCAAAACCCTGGGACTCTGAGAGGCTGAGGGGCGAGACTGAATGTTACCCAGAGCCTCGAGGATATTCCAACTCGGATGAGTTCAAAAGATTTGTCGGAGAATGAGAAAATTATCAGGAGCATCATGAGGAAACTGTTGTACTAGTCTTCTTCAACAACGAAAATGCCTTCAGCATCACCTTCGATCATATATACTAGACTGAAGATGTTCCCTACACCCCGGTCTGTATTACCACTGCCCAGCATGACAAGCTAGCCTGGAACCATTGGCTGAGACACCAAAACCTCGTTAGTGGCTGTTGGAAACCGACTCTCGGAGAGAAACAAAGTCAGGATTGCTGCCAAACGCAACAAATTCCTTGGAAGTTCTGTCTCTGAAGAATTCCTGTAGCCATGCTGGATATGATCGAAGCGCAGAGGCTCTAGAGAGGGTAGATGGAACCACCACCTGGCCACTACACTGCGAGCGGATCTGCTTGACAACGGCTCGCGAGACATGCTCTGGCTTGAGGATCTTTTTACCGACCAGCGCGCCTTTATTGACAAGTTCCTGTACCATTGGAGTCTGGACCCAGAAGGAGTGGATGATGCTGCAGATCTCGTCAGAGGGTGGTCGTCAGGGGGGTTTCAGCATCGACTAATGTCTGTCCCAGGCGGCTTGACAGGACTTGTTGGCAGGGCGAGATGACATACCTCGTACGCACCCGCGGTGCTTTGTAGTAATGCCGAATCTCTTGTGCCAATCCTTCATGAAAAGCCAGTGCTGCTGCTTTGCTGCAGCAGTAGTCCACGGCTCCTGCCATGGCGGCAAAGCTCGCCATGCTGGCCACCGTCACAATATGCCCATGGTTTTCCAGAATCATGTTGGGAAGGAATTCTTTCACGGTCCAGAAATGGGATATGGTGTTAACCTCAAAGGTCTGGGTGATGTTTTCCTCTGGGTCTTTGAGAAGGGTTCCGCCGTGACCCACGCCGGCGTTATTTACAAGGATCGTTGGTTGGCCGTGGTCTTTCCGGATCAGTCCTGCGGCCTTCTTGACATCCGCGCTTGAGGTGAGATCGACCCGGTAGAAGTAGGCATTTGTCGCTGGAGAAGATGGTCAGCTTTCTGGCCTACTGACAAGCGTGTATGGCAAAAAAACATGTTGCAGAAGGGGTCACAGACGCAGTCCTCTCAACGGCTCCTGGATATCGAGAATCGCCACCCGCAGTCCTATCGCCACCAGATCTTGAGCTATACAGTAGCCGATACCACTACTTCCCCCAGTTAGAACGACCAACTCCCGTGTTGGGTCCCAAGGCTTTTGCAGAGTGAAGTTATTGACTTTGAGCTGCGAATATCTGTTGCTGGCACTTTTGAGAACGCGCCAGACTATCCAAGCGATAAAGCCTTTCTGTGCCACAGGTGATCGAAGCACCCTTTGAAGGAGTCCTGGCAGTCGACTGATTAGACTCTCCGAGATATCCAGGACTTCCTGGATGCGTAGCTTATCGATAAGGCTCGACATTTTGCACGCGTGTTGACCAGCCAAATGATAGCCTGGCTGGCAGTGGTCGGATGCTGGGAAGCTGCGCCCATACATATGTTACCGTCCATATACATACATCTACTTGCTACCTAGGTACGTGACTCCTGACGAAAAGAACGCGAAAGGCGTATGCCGCGTGGGTGGGTAGATGATCGCCCGTGTCTCCACCAAAAAGACTTGTCAAACCCCTTTTCGGCATGTCGCGGAGGTTTGCTTCCTGTTTGGGCACCTCGGCCCCGTTCTCTTTCAACTATCTGTGTTGAGAAACGCACGTCGCCATGTCTCGCCACTACGAGTACGTTTACATGGCCGGAAGATTTTCGTAAACAGCACCACCATCGAGCTTCGACCAACAGGTTCTCGGCCGGGGTCTGTTACGTGAAGGTCCGAATCCTCGGCTATCAAGGACGTAGTTCTGGGCTGTGTCATCGTCTGCGGAACCCCATAAACATGGACGACGACCTCGATACAGTAGCTCTACGACTTTTTTTTTCTCCCATCGACTGCATAAGACGAATGTCGGAGGACGTCTGACTCGAAGAAAAGTGAGACGCGACCACAGACCCATAGTCTTACCATGGGTGACTCTCGTATGTCTGCCGACGGGGGCAGCTTTGATGTCATCATCATCGGAGCTGGTATCTCTGGTATAAACATGGCATATCGACTGCAGACCCAGATTCCAGGATGCACATACACCATTCTCGAAGCCCGCCAGAGTTTGGGTGGCACCTGGGACCTTTTTCGGTATCCCGGCATCCGGTCCGACTCAGATCTGTTCACGTTTGGGTTTCCATGGTATCCCTGGAAACAAGAGAATCCCATTGCCAGTGGAGACTCGATCATGGCGTACATGAAAGACGCGGCGGCAAAGTTTGGGATCGATCAGCATATCCGCTACAAGCATTCTCTGGACCAGGTCGCCTGGTCGTCAAAACACCACGCCTGGACCTTGACAGTCAACGTGGACGGTGAACATGCCTACTACACGGCCAGGTTCCTGGTCTTTGGCACCGGCTACTATGATTATCACACGCCTCTTGAGACAGACATCCCAGGCATTGGCAGATTCCAAGGCCAGACCGTCCACCCGCAATTCTGGCCGGAGCACTTGGATTACGCGGACAAACAGATCGTCATCATTGGAAGCGGTGCGACAGCCGTCACCCTCCTGCCTCAGCTGGCCAAGAAAGCAAAGCTCACCACCATGTTACAAAGAAGTCCGAGCTATATCCTCCCGATGCCTAATCGGGACCAGAGCCGGTCGAAGCTGAGCTATCTCCTCCCAACTTCTGTCTACTACAAGCTGAAGCGACTCTCCTGGATCATCTTCTCACGACTGTTTGTTGGCTACTGTCGACGGTTTCCCAATCGAGCCAAGCAACTGATCGAGAAGAGTGTGACACCTTTGCTTCCTCTCACTGTCCCCTACGAACCGCACTTCAAACCGCGCTATCTTCCTTGGGAGCAAAGGCTCTGCGTCTGCCCTGATGGGGACTTCTACAGCGCTCTCCGGTCCGGCAAGGCAGCGGTCGAGACGGCAGTCATTCAAGAAGTTGTCTCGGATGGCATCCAGCTGACCTCGGGCAAGAAATTGCCGGCAGACATCATCGTGACGGCCACCGGCCTCAAGCTGTGTATGGGGGGTGGCGTCCAGTTTGAAGTCGACGGGGAACAGATCGCCATCAATACCAAATTTCTCTGGAATGGTGTCATGCTTCAGGATATCCCCAATGCCGCATTCGTTATCGGTTACACGGATGCGTCTTGGACACTGGGGGCCGATGCCACGGCACACTTCGTCTGTCGACTGCTGAAGTCAATGTCACGCAAGGGCTACGTGGAAGCGAAGCCCTACTTACCGAACTCTGACTCGTTGACCGCTTCTCCTGCCTTCAACCTCAATTCGACTTACGTGGCGGTCGGGGCGAAAAGCTTGCCCAAAACCGCGGCGGTGGCTCCGTGGACCGGGCGCGGTGGCTACTTTTCGGACATGTTTTGGGCCAAGTATGGGAATATAACGAGGGGCATGCGATATGTCAATGGCAAGGCGAAGACCCAGTGAGAGATCGCGACAGGTTCCGGGGGGATGCATTTTCGAACTACGAGATTGGGTTCTGTCTGAAAGTAGAGGGTCATCTGCTTGCGACACCATAATCGCCTTTCGAATTATACATGTCACCATCTTGATGAGTCGTGAACAAAAAGGCGGCGCTCTGAACGAACCTCTAGGGGTGTCCAGCATGACAGTTTCTGTCCATGGACTTTTTCGGCATCCCAAGTCATGAGTCACGTCACAACTGCAATCAAGCAGGAGATGCGACGCAGAAGACAAGTTCTGCGCTGTGTCGGGCTCATCTGCTAGTAAACTAGATTGAGCATCATGGGACAGTAATAAAATCTGGACCACTGCGTAATAGATCATACAACATCCCCGAATATCCCTTGGTCCTTTGCTCCCAGACATGATCGACGACAGACGTTAGCTTCCGTTCAGAGATTGATGTGATGCTGAGCGCTGTCAGTACCTTGAAGATATTCTTGGGCACCTCGGTGGTCTCAAGCATGGCCAGGAAGACGGGAAAATTGACGTGCTGCAGCTTCGAATCGGGACCCCTTCGAGCCAGATAGTCTTCAAGGAGCCGAATGATTTCGTCAGCGAGCGCTTTTCCGGTAGCATCACCGGTCCCCAGAGGATTTGAAAGCCTGTGGATGACGAGCAGGCTCGCGGAGCGGTACATGAGTGCCTGGGAGACCATGGCCGAAATGTCGTCGCGTGTCAACCTTCCTGGTGACTCTTGTTGGAGCACCGGTGACCACAGCGTCAGTCTTCGTTTCAAGGTTCGCAAAGATTGAGAGTAATCTTCCGCAGTCGAGTCCCTGATCCTGTGACCAAGGACGCAGAGCTGGTAGAGCATGGGCATCAAGGTTGTGCACATGCCAGCCACTCGATCCACCAGGTACAAATCTCGAAATCCGTATTCGAGAACGGGGACATCCCCTGTGACCAGGCAGTTCACCGTGTCCCACAAGATGGGGGCTATCAGTATGGGATCAAGCTCAGCGTCTTGCGACATTTGGGAATACCATGGTTTGATCAGTGACAAACTGTGGCGCAGAACCAGCAATGCCCCGGTACACGTGGTCAAACAGTCGAACGCTGCAATGGTAGGGCCAAGAGCAGCGAGTGAAATTGCTTCGTCCAGGGTCGATGGTTGGGCGGTTCTCAGTCGTTCAAGGGCCGAAGAACCTCTGGAGATGTCAATGTCACTCCAGTTGGCCGCCCTGTGTCTCCTCCATATCAACGCTGTGAAGATGGCGCGAAAGCCATCCCGCACAGCCCTCGAAGTTGAGGAGCATTTCCGAAGAATGCGGTGAAAGTCCTGGGCGAAACTCGGACCGATCATGAAGATGTCATTGATCTGATAGAAAAACCCCACGCTCGATGATTGAACATCGAAGAGATCTCTGAGTGGAAGCAATTGCAGCTTCGACGAGGGCGAGGGTATAAATGATAGCGCCAAGGGCTGCTCGGGGCGCATTGTTGTGGTGTTGGACTCGGTCGGAATTTCAGAGTCAACTAGAAACCTTCGAGAGACTTCTTCACTAGTGGCACTTCCCGAACCTGGAGAGTCACCATTGACACCTCGAGGAGCGCGGTTAATCTCAAACACATGACAAGAGCCTTTGTTACCGAAAAGGATTGTGTCTGGTCGTCGTCCGGAACGTAGTCGAGGCCGAACATTCGTACAGGGCGTGCCCTGTCGCTTACAAGCTAAACACTCTGGAGCGTTTGGCACAAGTAGACATCGCACCTTTCTTCGATAGCATTGGTCACAAGTACGCTTACTCGACATGTATGGTGAATCAAAAAGATCGCTGAACAGTGTGATTAGGTCGATACTGAGTAAGGATGCGTGGAGGATTGAGGGGGTTGGAATAAAGATTTCTGGGTGGACATGGTGGAACCGTCTCTCGGCACATTTGCTTAGTCTCGGCGGTTTGCTTCCACATCTGGCGACGAATGGTGCACGGGTCTCCCACACAGGCAGGCAGACGATCGGCTAAAGTCGTTCTGGCGAAACCGCTGGCCCCACAGGGGGGTTGTACACTAAGAGAGTCTCGGGTGTTTGACGAGATTTAACTGGACTTCTGTTATCCTAATAGTGGGGACAGAATTCAGCCCCTCTCCCCCCGCGGGGGGTTACTGGTCCCCCCTCCTTTCTCCCCGGACACGTTAACGATACCTGAATGTACCGAGGGTCAGAAAGACGGAGAATTAGAATGCACACTCACTGAACAGGCGTTGACTGCCATTTCGAAGTCACCACTGGTCCCGTCCAACTTCTCTTCAAAAGTCGGAATATCATATTGCCTGTGCATGTTATCTGTGTGCCAGTTATAATCTCCAAAACCATGGCGGCATCGGGTTACAAGTACACTGATGTGGTTGTTGAAGTCCAAGGCCGAATCGGGACCATTCGAGTAATGATTGTGCTTTCGATGAGGTTTGGCTTTGTTCTGACTCTTGACAGCTCAATCGGCCCAAGGCTCTCAATGCCTTCACTACCACCATGATGATGGATGTGATTACCGCTCTGAGAGAGCTCAATCAACACCCCGATACTGTGTTCACAGTCATCACCGGCGAGGGTCGGTTCTTCTCCTCGGGGGTTGACGTCAAGGGTGAGGCAGACCTCGAACGAGTGAGCTCAACTCTCCAGGCAATCCAGCACTGAACCGAACTTCTATAGCGATATCCGCTCGCAAGCCAGTCCAGACCGCAAGTCTTGCTGAAAAGAAAGTTGCATCACTGACAGGTTTGGTGCCAGGTAAGGGAACTGTCCAGCCCAATCACAAGGCACAGACAGCTTCAGTACTAAGGGACAAATGCTGACCATCCCTTCGGCGAGAGCAGCGTTGGAAATGCTTCGTTCCATGGTCGACCATCAAAAAGTCCTAGTCCTAGCCCTGAACGGTCCCGCTGTCGGTGGCGGTGCCGCCTGGTTCGAAGGCGTCGCGGATATCATCGTCGCTGCTCAGGGAGCCTGGCTCCAGGTTCCATTCAACGCGCTGGGATTGGTACCAGAAAACGGATCGACTACACTTTTCAGTCATCACATTGGTGTTCGCCGAAGCAACGAGTTCCTCATGTTCGGTCGGCGGGTCACGGTAGAAGAACTGCAACAGTGGGGACTGGTTAATTTCATCCTCCCCAATGATGGCTTCCACAGTGCTGTCCACAAGTTTCTGGAGGATCAATTGGAAGTCAACGATGGGAAGAGCATGATGGAGACGAAAAGATTACAGAACCTGCCGCTCAGGAGGGAAAGAATGCTGGCAGTCTATGATTCGATCGATGCGCTGGCAGAAAAATTCCTTGACGGGGTTTCTACCAAAAGATTCCTCGAGAGGAATGCTCAACTTGGTTGTATGAGCCTCATCCTCGAACCCCTTACGCTCCATTCTTTAGACTGACTCTTCTTAGCTCGTGGGAAAATTCAAGGAAAGCTCTAGATTGCGCAAGCTGGTGTGGTCATACATGACAGTCAGCAGGCTGCTCAGCGATTCAAGCCATCTCATGACTTATGACAGATTTCGGATGGACTGGGCCTTTTGGCCCCAGTCATGAGCGGGAAGTCGAATTGGAAAAATTCCGAGACCTTGAGAAGCTCAAAGGCAGACATCCCTGTCTTTCATTTCAGAAGATGTGTCAGTCGTTTCTCGTCGTTCTTGCTCCCAGTGCTCGCACTCGGTCTCTGTTCTTGCTCTTGTGCCCTCCAGATCCGAGTTAACTGCATCATCTTGCGTCACACCGCCAGTCCCGATTTTAGAAGATTATCAAAGGAGAGCACCTGTGGGAGGTCCCAATGTGGTGATTCCTTGACCTTGTTGATCTTGACCACGATGCCAACGTCAATGTATCTACCTACTAGTAATGCCTATTGGCACTACCTACTATTACTACTCCCTCTCCCGCACCAAGGGAAATGATCTTCGTCATCTCAACATCCAGGGCTCAGACCGCGCTACATCACCGCTTGGCTCCGAATCTAGAGAGTATGTCGGAATTCAGGATTTCACCCCACAATTCCAATACCCTTCTCATCGGCCTGTTTGTTCTTATGGTGGAAGAGCATGCCCATTGCGATCGACAAGAGAATAAGCAGTGACATGCATGAGACCAGCGAAAGACCTGTAATCAGAGCTAGGGGATTTCATGCCTTGGGGATCGACGGAGCCTGGAGGCATCCAACTTACCGATGATCGGCACCCAACAGTAGAAGACAAGCATAGGAGACCGAATCCGGTACTTGTCCCCAAGATAGCCGCAGACCATCATCACAATGCAAGCGGGGATATGGGGAGGGGCGGTCAAGCATTGAGCCCGTGCCAGGGAAGCCTCCAATCCTTCCCGAAGGATAATCGGCAGGAAATAAGCCACCGGCATTGGTGACATGTTGTGAGGCCGAATGTTGCGGCGTGGACCCAAACGTTGACATTGGCGCAGTTCTTGAAATATTCTCCGACGGAAAATTCATCGGGCTCAGTGTCATGTCGGTCTGTCTCTTGCCGTCAAAATTTGAATTCACGCCCCTTTCGGCTGGCTTTGTCGGGGGGGTTCAACCACGGAGAAATAGGACAAGATACCTATGAGGCAAGTGGCAACGTCAAAGATGATGAAGATGAAACCGAGCAGCACGGTGACGCGTAGGTCGACCCTGATTTGAACTCGGCGTCGCTCCTTTGGTGTCACAGCCTCAATCTGGCCATCAAAGACCTGCTTTTCTGCTTCATCCAGTACCTCGGGCACATGGCCCTTATTTTCTTCGACGTAGCTAGGACGCTGTGCCTTCCCTGCCATATTGCTAAAACCTCGAGACTGAGTAGAAGCAATGAATCTTGACCTTTTAGGCCGACCGTGGGAGTTCAGACCCTTTTAATAGTACAAAACTGGACAACTCTGAACCTCTAGTTCCTAGGCTCTCGAGCGCCGACAGCATGGCCAAGAGTTTGGGTTGTTCTCATACCTTTTGATGGGCCACGCCCTTGACTGGCGTCTATCCCAACCTCTCCTGGCAATTCTGAAGCAGGAGCACCCTGTAGCTCACACCCAGGTTACGCGGAGTATTCCTGGGGTATCATAGTTCTGGGAATCATACTATGTGTGGATCTCGAGTGCTAGTCTTGGGGTCTTGCCAAGCAGCACCTCCACTGGACTTAAGTATGCTCGGCACCCTTTGTTAGACCTGGGATCCAGAAAACCTTTAGAGGCTTCGGCACATTCACTTCGGTACATTTCGGTAGACAGCTCGGTTATTGCGAGAAAGCATCGGCACAATCCAACATCAAGTTGACACAAGTAGCCCAACGTCAGGCTACTGGGCAGAATGGCATGATGCTATCAGACCCTAGGGGACGTGGTGATCATCTTCGCCGAGGCCTAGTGCTCAAGATTCAGGAAGATACGGAGTACCTCTGCAACAGGTATATCTCGCGGCAATAAAAACATAGTAGATTACTGCACAACATCTCCGGGTTGAGCAACAGCTCAACAACGCTGGAGAACTTTGAACTACGATGGCTCTTACCGTTGAACAAATTCCGATGGCCAAGAAGGTTGAGTCGCAGCAGCCCGATGTTGCTGTCAAAGTCCGGTTTCCCAAAGACGACCTAGTTCACCCCAAGAACTCAGCTATTTCAGAACTAAAATCTGAATCGCCTATTACTGCTAGTGGGAGTTCTGCTCTACAACCTCCTTCTTCTATAGAAGACATTTTGGAACAGCCGCTGGGCACGTGTGACCACGTGCGCGTTATCATCATTGGTGCCGGTGCTAGCGGCTTAAATATGATTCGAAGCATGAGAAAACACCTTGAGGATTTCGAATTAACCGTCTATGAGAAGAACCCTGAAGTGGGCGGGACATGGTATGAAAACCGATATCCTGGCTGCAAATGCGATATCCCTTCCCACAACTATCAGTTCTCCTGGAGACCTAACCCCACCTGGTCTGCCTTCTTTGCCGGAGCCCCCGAAATCCAAAAATATCTCAAGACTTTGACCGAAGAAGAGCAACTTCAAACTTCAATCAAATTGGGCTACCAGGTGGTTCGCGCGGATTGGAACGAAGGTGACGGCTTATGGAATGTCAAAGTCAAGAATTTGGCGACCGGAGAGATCATCGATGACCATTGCAACTTTCTCTTGAATGCATCCGGTATTCTCAAGTAAGGATCGACTCCGGCTATAACTGAATGGCTTCGTATACTAATTAAACGCCAGCAACTGGAAATGGCCGGATATCAAGGGCCTCCACTCGTATCAAGGACAGCTCATCCACAGCGCAAACTGGCCAAGAGAGTACGACTTTACTGGAAAGACGGTTGCCGTTATTGGCAATGGCTCCTCCGGTGTCCAGATAGTACCAGCTATTCAACCCGAGGTTGGCAAGCTGATCCACTTCATCCGGTCGCCGACTTGGATCGCACCGAGTCACCTGGAGAGGATGAGTCTCTCGCCGAAAGGGAGTGTTCTGACTGAGATCGAGCTACAAGGAGAGGCATTCTCGCAGCAGCAGATTGACCAATTTACAAAGGATCCAGCCTACTATCACGAATTTGTCAAGGCGGTCGAAGCGTACACCAATGCGAAGTTCAAAGGGGTGAGTACTACCTTCGTTTTACTTGGGTCTCTGTCATTCTGCTGACGGCCGTCGATTCAGACGGTGAATCATCTCCCTGAAGCCACCATGGCCAAAGAATTGATGACTGCACATATGATAGAGCGGCTGGGCGATGACAGACGCCTCATTGACTTCCTGATACCGGACTTTCCGGTAGGCTGCCGACGAATCACGCCAGGTGTGGGGTATCTCGAATCGTTGCGCAAGCCAAACGTCCAGGTTGTGACTGATTCCATTGCTGAAATCACCCCCGAAGGCCTTTTGACATCGACCGGAGAGGAATTTAAAGTCGATGTTATTGTGTGCGCCACCGGCTTTGATGTATCTTTCTGCCCACGTTTCCCCGTCATCGGTCGAGACGGAAAGAACTTGCAAGATTTGTGGAAAGAGCAGTTACCTGCTGCTTACATGTCATGCTTGATTCCTGAAATGCCTAACTATTTTGGTAAGTCCAGTTCATGCTGGTGTATGAAGTCTTAAGTAGCTGACTCTGTCTTCCAGTCTTTCTTGGTCCGAATGCCCCCATTGGCCACGGAAGTGTCCTCACCATAACGGAACATGTCGCGAAATTCATGATCAAGATTATTCGAAAATGCCAAACTCAAGGCATCAAAGCCATATCTCCCAAGAAGGATGCGGTAGAAGAGTTCTTGGAACATGTTCAAAAGTTCATGCCTCGAACAGCATGGTCAGGCAATTGTCGGTCATGGTTCAAAAATGGCAGGGCTACCGGACCGGTTACTGCTCTGCATCCTGGCAGCCGCATTCACTGGTTTCATATGCTCGAAGATTTTAGGGGCGAGGATTTTGACTATGTCAGACGGACACGAAACCGTTATGCATATCTTGGGAATGGGTTCTCGATTAGAGAAATGGAGGGAGGGGATCAGACATGGTACTTGGATCACCCAGATGTGTTATTCTGAGGAGTCAAGGAGGTTGATGGCTTCGTTGGACTTATAGATACTAAATTGCATATAGTAGAATCAAGTGTGGAATACTCGTCGTCCTTTTCAAACTTCTTTGGCAGATCCTTCTCACCAGGAGGTTAGATATCATATCACGACACTCAAAGCCATTTTTTTCGCGACTTTGATGGTTCTATGTGACGTTAGGTATCTGTGGTCCAAGTTGACATCGGACTGGCATTAAATGTTGAGTGCCATCTTGGTACATGATTATGGATTTACAGAGATTGGCTCGATTCGTCCCAGTACAGACAATCTTTGCACTCTACTCACAATCCAAGTATAGAAGGATTGTCACGGTAAACGGCCCAGTTCGAGGCTCCTGCAGTTCCGGAGGTGAGTCCTGTTATACCGGCCCTTCGGCTGGCAGTGTGGGAAGCCGGCCAGGTTGTACTCCTTACTACATCCGCTCTTACTCCCTACTCGGTATGTTTCAACTCTAGGTAGGGTCTTAGTTTGTCGAGACCCCACACATTCTGCCGCTTGACTGTATGTACCGAATACCGGGTACCGACCACCGGCTGCATACCTACGCAAAAAGTATTCCGTCTTCGCCTGGCGCGTACCGAAGTGGACCGACACTTACGGAGTATTTTCCCTTCGGTGCTTCGCTCCTGCAAGTTGTTAAGCTAAGCTGACGCTATCCAGAGTTTTCCGAGCAGGCGCTGGAAGACGGAGAGAAAAAAAGGAGAGAGGGGGTGTTAACACTCTCAGTTTAACTACCGCGTTCGATCTCGGCACAGGCCTCGAAAAAGCTTTCCCATTTCCTGATCCCAGCATTCTCTCCATTCTCAAATTAGACACACCCGACTGTCAGGCAAAGTACTACTAGCTACTACAGACCCTGCCTGCAACTCAATAGCCCAGCATGTCTTACTCAGATCTTTCCATCAAGAAGCAAGATCCAAACGCCATCAATCCGAAAAGTATTTTCGCCAACAACGCACGAACTGGGGCAAGTTCGACTCCCGGGAAGGCGATGGGCACGTTTACGGGCGACGTCTGGCTTGATTCTGTCCTGAGGGCCGACAATATCTCCGTCGCAAACGTCAACTTCACCCCTTGCGCGAGAACAAACTGGCATAGGCACGATGGCGGTCAGCTGTTGAAAATCACCGGTGGTAGTGGCTGGATCTGCGATAGAGGCAGCGAGCCTCGGCGGATCACTGTTGGAGATGTGGTCTGGTGTCCACCAGGTGCGATTCATTGGCACGGTGCTGACGACGCGAGCTTTATGGTCCACGAAGCAGTCTCATATGGGAAGATTGATTGGTACGAGCCTGTGAAAGATGAAGAGTATGCTGCGAAGAAGTGAAAGTGAGTGTAACCACTTTCTCGAGAGTGAGATGACAGATTTCCAAAACCAAGTGGGTTTATTGTGATGTAGACGGTAGAAATGAGGGTTAGATTCACATGGGTATCGAGGTAGACCGCGATTCCACATGTGCTATATCACACTTTCCGAGCAAGACGTTCTACTCTGTACATACCACTTGGTTCTCATTTTAGTCTCAGGTTGGTTACGCCTATAGTCCATCCTGAGTACACCATCTACTCCGTCACAGATCACAACCTCGGTCCAAAATCGCACCTACCCTGGCAAAAACCTGGTTAGCATCGGCTAACGTGGGGGGTGTTTGCAAAGTGTCGAAAGAACGTCTGTCAGTGGTCTGCTCTGTAGTCTGGTAGTCGGTAATCGGCATATACAAGGGTCCTGGAGTCAGAACCTACCTCTGATGGTGTATCCTCTCCCAGGAGGGGCTGGCAGTACCCCAGGCCTTTTGTGGCCCACTGTTTTCGACCTGAAAATTGTCGTATCCACACCCTCTCAGCCTGGCCCTCCATAATCCCGAATCCGGAAATCTCCAGTCTTTTCTTTCCATTAGGTGACGAGCCCGGACATTCGTGGTATTCGTACTCCCACTGTTCAATTCTATAAAGCGAGATAGTATTCAATGTTCCAATCGCTAGGGTGATGGCTTCGGCGGTTGTACTGTGACAGTACGGAAGAGACGGACCTCCCCGCAGGACCTCCCGAGATCTCGCACTAGGGGCGGTATCCTGGTCTGGCGCTGGAGCAGAAGTCATTGTCGAGTAGGGAAGAGGTGGTGAGTTGAAGGTGAGCGTCGAGGTGCACTCGTTGTTGATTTGCCTTGTCTTTTCATGCCAAGACTTGGATGTCAAATGTGAAGAGCCTTGAGTGCCTCATAGTCACGGTCACACGACTACATCTCTCTATCAAGCGTCATTCCGCGGCCGCAGGCTCAAAGGTCGGCACTACATTGACAGACTCAATTGGGTTGAGACATCGTCGCAAAGTTATCGTCCCCACTACAGCGGATGATTCTCATCTTCCTTCTCAGAAACCTCCGACTCGCTCTCTTTCACCTTCCTTGTCCGCATTTGCTTCATCAAACATCACAACTTGCAAATTACCTACCGTGCCAGGCGCTCTTGTCTATCCTCTTTGTGCTCTCGGAGCTGCGGTCGAAGAATTCTGAGGACTGAATCATACACCGCCTAATTCCACGACTGTCACCAACGGTGACGGCCGGTCACTGCGTTCCTGAGACTCCCAACTCTGCCGCTCCAGTCCTAGAGACCGCATGCCATCTATCTGGACAACGAGCCTCAACCCGTCCTCTTTGCGTGTGCATTGACACACCCAGTGCAGCTCGACTCTACTTTCGACACACTGTATCGAGGGCACGAAAACCGCATTCGGTGCAGCACAAGAGATGACGAGGATAAGGCGTTTCGATTGCGATTGAAATATGCACCAGCGCTGTTACACGAGAAAGGGAAAAAAGGGGTTAAAGAGGTTGAATGGTAAAGGCACAGAAACTGGAAAAAGCGAACAACAAGTTACACGCAGGTGTAATGACAATACTGAGTAAATACTAGGTAAATACTGGTATTGGAATAATGTCTGGAGATCTCTGTCACAACCACCATGACGACTGCAACAGCAAGATGTCCCTTGAACAGATGCTATAGCGTCTCGTCGACTGTCGCTTGTCCGTCGACCGTGGCTTGACAACTCTATCAGGCCAATGATTCCAGCTTCTGGGATAGAGATCTCAAACAAGATTTGATGCCATGGGCGCGTTGCCTCCAGAAATCAAGCGCCCTTTGGACATCGAAACCTCATGGTCGTCTGGTGGCTTCAATCCTTGACACTCACAGCTTCAGCTTGGATTGAACCCATTTACCTGCTTTTTCAAGAGTAGCATCCGCTTCAGGAGCTCTGCCAGCCATGAATATATGAACATGTTGCATGCCCTCCGCGACCTCTTTATCCACGTCCACACCATCCTTCTTGGCCTTTTCTGCCAAATCTTCGGTATCGCTCAACAGTGTCTCATGTCCACCGGCAACGAGGTACAAGGGCGGATAACCGGACAAGTCGGCATAAAACGGGTTGGCCAAAGGGTTTTGAGGAGACTGGCCTGCTAGCCACAACAGACGGCCTTGACCCAGCGATTCGCGATTGGCAAGGAAGTCCTTTTCTTTGTTGATGTCCATGGTCTTGCCCTTGCATTCAATATCCACCCAAGGCGAGAAAGCCACTACACCGCCTGGTCGCGGCTTCTGCAGTTCTAGGATCTTGAGTGTGGTGGTCAGTGCGAGATTACCCCCAGCAGAGTCTCCTGAAATGATGACCTGCTCGGGAGAAAAGCCTTGTTGCAGGAGCCAGTCGTAGGTGGCGACGCCGTCCTCGATCTGGCTGGGAAAAGTCGCCTCGGGAGCCCTTCGATAGTCAGGCACGAGGACCTGTGTGCCAAAGGCCTTTGCAATGTGGCCCCCGAGCTTCCGGTACGCATTTGGCGAACCACTGAAAAAGCCTCCGCCGTGGAAAAACACCGTCACATGTTTCGGCGAGGCACCAAGGGGTCGACACCAGATCGCAGGACGCACGGTTCCGGCACACTGTGCTTCCTCATATGTGACATCCGTGGGTTCGGACGCGAGCTGATGACATTCGTCTGTGATGATCCGAAGTATATCCAAGGGGAGAGTCGGGTTCGCCGCCATTGTCGACGTCAACGACTTGTAGAATTCGGCAAGCGCCTCGGATTCCTTGGACGGCATTTTGGCGGACTGGGACGACGATCGAGACTGTCTATGTGAAAACGATAATCGGTACTTGGAGAGCGCAAACGTGTTTCGATTACAGATAATCGTTGCTGTTCAGGATGTTGAGCAGCAGGTGGCCAAGAGGGAAAGGTACAGCTGGGGGGCCGGGGGGGGGGGGGCTTCACGACTTTATACTCGCTGTAGAGTTCACTGTCGTCGCGCGGCTTCGCGGTCTGTCCATCCCCGAGGCACATTATGCACATCTTGACGGCATTTCACTGGCATAACATGTTTTACGACTCAATATGACGATGTCTAGATATGCCGCGGCAAGCAGTATTCCGCTTCCGACGGATTCATCTACATTGTACAGGAGAGACGATCCACGAGGGAGTGATCGATATGCAGTTATGGGGAAAAAGCTGCCCCTTCAACTCTGAGGCTTATGCAGCAAGTCTCTCTAATTCTGTGCAAAGACGACAAAGAGCATGAATTCATGAAACTCTCTTCCTGAGCATCGACACAAGCTCCTCGGCAGTCTATTCTAAAAGGTAGAGACCTCAAGTCCTTCCAGTTTACCGTCCTTCTCCCAGGCATTGGCGAAATCTATGAAATCCAAAGGCCCGCCAGACCAGATGCCTTTCCTCATCATCTTGGCCAGTTCCTCGGGGGCTGTGATGCTCTCCAATTCACACTCCCGGTTGTAGTAACTAGGAGTACAACCGGCCATTGCGGCGCCAGAGATGGCACCCTTGGCAATTGCAGCGGCCCAGGCCTCTTCTGCGTCTTGGGCGGGTTCTACCAAAGCCTTGGACTTGCCTTCTTGCTCGGCCTTCTTGACCACGGTGGAGATGATGTAGACGGAGTGTTTGGCCAGGTAGTCTAGGGCGACCATGAAGTTGGGCGACGTCAGAGTCTGACTGGTCCCGGTGAAGAAGAAGTTGGGGAAGTCCCGAGTGGTTATGCCGTGCAGGGTGCCCACGCCACGGTCCCACTTCTCATTCAAGGAGAGTCCATTGCGTCCCGTGATAGGGATACCTGCCTGTGCCGCAGGAGAATTGGCACCCTCGACCTCGAATCCCGTGCTGAAGATGATGACGTCGACCTCGATCTTTTCACCGTTGACGATGATGCCGTCGTTGGTGATCTTGGTCAATCCAGCACCCTGGGTGTCGAGTAGACGGACGTTGGGTTTGTTGAAGGTGGGGAGATAGTCATCGTGGAAGCAAGGCCGCTTGCACCAGCTGGCGTACCAGGCCTTGAGGCTCTTGGCGATCTCGGGGTCCTGGACTACCTTGTCCACTCTCTCCCGAACCTTTTCCTGGCGCTCCAAGTCCATGGAGCGATACCTCTTGAGAAATTCTGGGAGGTTTTCCATGGTCAGCCCTTTTGCGCGAGGGCCGCCGGTCAAAACGGCGCCCGAGATGAAGTGGGACCAGGCGTCGTCCACCATGTCGACGCTCGGAGGTTCATATGGGTCGCTCATGCACTCGAGGAAGTTTCTGATTCTCTCCTCTTGCCACCCGGGCTTATTTCCGATCTCTCGTTTCCAGACCTCCGGGTCGGTGGGTTGTTGGCCCCGAACATCGACGCCAGCCGGGGTTCGCTGAACGACGTAAAGCTGCTTAGCCCAGTTGGAAAGCTGGGGGATGGCCTGGATGGCCGTTGCGCCGGTCCCAATGATGGCCACTCGCTTATCTTGCAACTTATCGAGAGTCCAGTCGGTCGGGGAGCCGCCCGTGTAGGCATAGTCCCATCGAGAAGTGTGGAAGCAATGACCCTTGAAATCCTCAATGCCGGGGATACCTGGCAGTTTGGGGTGGGTGAAAAGGCCCGGGGCCAACACAAAAAAATCGGAACGAACATGGACCCTGCGCGCGTTGCCGTCAGGGGTTTTCTGACGGAGCTCAAAGCTCCAGCCCTTTTCATGCTCGTCCCAGCTGGCCGAGTCCATCTCGGTGTTAAACGAGGCGCTCTCGCCCAGGTTGTACTTTGAGGCTAGCTCGTTGGCGTAATTTCGGATCTCGTACCCATACGAGTACTTGTGTTTTGGCATGTAACCGGTCTCTTCGAGCAGAGGGAGATAGATATAACTCTCGACGTCGCACATGATGCCTGGGTACCGGTTCCAGTACCAGGTGCCGCCGAAGCCACCGGCGCGGTCGACAAACAACAGGTCGCTCAGCTTGAACCCCGCGCGGAGGAAGTGGATGCCATAGAGGATGCCGGCGAACCCGGTACCCAGGATGACGACTTTATAGTGATCCCCGTCTTCCAAGGGATGCGTGGGTGCCGAGTGGCCCTCCCAGGCCCAGGGATCGACACCAAAGTTCTTGAACTTATCCGACTCGAGCACGTCGACATATTGGGCCGTGCCATCAGGACGCAGACGCTTTTGTCTTTCCTCTGCGTACTTGGCCTCGATGACCTCGACGTCGACGTCTTTGGCGATCATCTTTGCAAACTGGACACCAAAAATCTGGGATATGGGGGTGGGGGATGGGGGAAATATGGGAGTGCGGGAGTATGGGGGAAGGGCTGGAGGAAGAAGGATTGGAGGGGATAAAGAGCACCAGCTTCTTTCCCAAGAACCCCTTGAAACGAAAAAATTTAAAAATAACAGACGGGAAGCGTATCTCGAACCTGACGGATCTCGGACTCGCAATTCAGCGTCTCACAGCCTTTGCCTTATAACGACCAAAACGTTGGAAGACGATGCCGAGGGATACACATGGCCAATGACACACAGAGCGAAGCCGAGGTTCCCTCCGTCCCCAGGAATTATCAATCGAGCCTCGCTCCAAGGTCCAAAAGTATACTTTGGAACGAACAAGAATGTGCTGCTTTGTGCCCACAATGCATTAATATGGGGTGATGGAGCATTCAAGGCAACAAGACGTTGCCTGACTCGATCGCCTGAGGTTTGTGCATTTTCCTCTCCCTCTTCGGACAGAGACCCGGTGACAGCTGGGATCAAGTCTCATGGATTCTTGCCTTATGGAATTTCAGTCTTTTGTGGATCCCGGATTCGGGGCTCAAGGTCATACAGACGGTCCGGGTGATCGATAAAGAACGGTCCGGACTATCCCGCCACTTTTTGGTCGGAGTTTTGTCTCGTGTTTGTGGCGAGGGATTTTATTATGTTTGTTGGTGTATTTGGAGTATTTCATCAACGCTTCACAGATTTATACAAGCGAAGGAAAGAAAGAGAAGGTCGTCCATTGAGCTGGTCCTTTGGTGAAGGTCCGTTCTATCAACCACCAACCCCAACCTAACCCAACTCTACTCAACCCGTGTGGCTCGTTCTTTAGTTCCACACTCTCAGACACATTTCATTCCTTATCAGATTAGATCTTACAACCACCCTCATCGTCATATCCTGTACCGCGAGGCAGCGGGGCTGAGGCACCGCAGAAGTCGTGAAGCTCGTCCCGATCATGAATTGCTATTCGACCCTTGCACACAGCTCCATGTCGACGCTGTGTCGCCACGTTAGCTCCGCCGCGAGCCCCATGGCATCGGGGTCCAGTTTCCTTCGCTGCCTGACCCTCACGCCTTCGCTACGTCGACCATCTCACGGGCTTCGTCCGCAGTCAAGAACCATGGCGACAGTCAACGACACGGCGATCAAGGTGAAGAAGATCGCGGGAGCTTGTGGCGCAGAGATTTCGGGCGTCGACCTAGCAAAGGACCTCGAAGACCCCAAGGTCCGAGACACGGTGCACCAGGCCCTGCTTGACCATTTGGTCATCTTCTTCCGCGACCAGGGACATTTGACCCCAGACACCTTCCTGGCCTTTGCCCGCTACTTTGGCAAGCCCATGCAGTACCCCATGATCAGCGGCCTGCCTGGCTACCCACTGATTACTGAGGTGCTGAAGCGCGAGCACGAAAAGACAAACTTTGGCGGCGTGTGGCACGCTGACACGACCTATCTCAAAAGCCCGCCTATGGGCACCATGCTCGTGTCTCGCGTGCTCCCTCCCCACGGCGGCGACACCTGCTTCGCCAACCAGTACCTCGCGTACGAGGCGCTGAGCGACGGCCTGCAGAGACAGCTCGACGGCCTCCGCGCCATCAGCAGCTCGGCCAAAGCCGAGGTGAGCAAGACGCGCGAGGACCGGGTCAAGGAAGACGGCGCGAACCCAGGCGTCAAGCCCGCCGACCTCGAGGCCTCGCACCCGGTTGTCCAGACGCACCCGGAAACCGGCCGTAAGGCCCTCTACGTCAACGTCGCCCACACGCTGCGGTTCGACGGCTGGTCCGAGGAGGAGAGCAAGCCCTTGCTCGAGTACCTCTTCCAGCACCAGGTCCGGCTCGAGTTCACCTGCCGCTTCCGGTGGGGGGTGGGATCGCTGGCCTTTTGGGACAACCGCTGCGTCCAGCATAACCCCATCAACGATTATCACGGGTACAAGAGGTCTCTGCACCGCATCACACTCGAGGGATCCGTGCCACGGTAGAAAGAGCCAACAACAACGCAGGGGATTCTGTTGGAAAAGTTCTTTGCTTGCTATCAATTACTATTCTGGCACTTTCTAGCGCCGATCAGTTTTGGGTCCGTTGGGATCGTTGTTTTTGATGGGAGGAAGGGGCTTGGGATTGGGAGTGAGGAGGAACAGGGCTCGAATCGTGTAGCAAAAAAAAAAAAAAAAGGAAACAGAAAACTATCATCATGAGGCGTGGCGACGGATGTTTTTCTTTGGCTCTTTGAGCTTTTGCTTAGCCCACACGCATATACCATATATAGCATGAACCATTCTTTGCTTTAGCCCAAGAGCATTAAAAAAAAGACTCGGCTATATGTACTCTGGCCCCTCTGTTCCGAGATCACGTCTATTGCTGCTAATTATCACCCACTCGGCCATCCATCGAGATATGCCCCGTCGTGTAGTGTACCTGTATATAACCCCGTTTACCTACTGAATACCCTTATGCGGGTGATCCTACCGCATCGTAGATCCTGCTGGCTAGGGAGGTGATGTCGCCACTATATTGAGTTTTATTTATTGCGTGACACCCGTCTTCTGGAGATCTTTTATGGCCGCGTCCGAAAGTCCAATTTCCCTCAGGACTTCAGAGGTGTGTTCGCCCAGAAGCGGTGGGCGGAGTTTGACGGGCGTGGCGGCCTCGGAGAACTTCACGGGCGCGCCTGTTTCGTGGGGGGAGGTGTGGTTAGAATGAGAGCTCCATCGGGGAAAAGAAGCGGAGTAGGAGGGAAGGGAGAGGGGGGCCAGGAAGTGAGTAAAGAGACGGGGAAGAAAAGAAAGAAAATAGACCGACCGAGTAGTTTGAGCACGCCCGACTTCAACCCTTCGTACTCGACCGGCTGAAGCATCTCGCCAGCCTCGATCTGCGGGTGCTTGAAGACGCGTTCCATGTTGTTGATGGCCCCGTAGGGCATGCCGCTCCCCTCGAACCGCTCGAGCCACTCGTCGGTGGTCCTGCTCTCGAAGCACTCGCGTAGGATGGGCGTGATGACCTCCCTGTTCTTGACCCTGGCCGAGTTGTTCTTGAACCTCTCGTCGTCGACCAGATCCGGCCGACCGAGAATGTCGCACAGCCGGCGCCACTGGCGCTCCGTCGACGCGCCGGTCACGACGTGCGAGTCCTTGGTCTTCCACGCGTCGTAGGGCACCACGCTCGGATGCGCCGTCCCCCACCGCTGGGCCTCCTGTCCCGAGTTGACCCAGTCCATGCCCACGTTGATCAGGAGCGACACCATCGACTCGAACAGCGACACCGTCACGCGTTGGCCCAGACCCGTCTCCTGGCGCGCCAGCAACGCTCCGAGGATGGCCCCGTGCAGGTACAACCCCGTGCACAAGTCGATGATCGAGACGCCGGGTTTGGTCGGCGGTCCACCGCGTGGGCCGGTAATGTGCATGAGTCCAGCCTCCGCACCTACGATCATGTCGTAGCCGGCTCGTTTGGCCCAGGGTCCTTTGGATCCGTATCCTATACAGCTCCGCTTAGTGACTTGGGGAACCAGTGCCAGTGAGGTGATGGATATAGGTATACCTGAAATACTAGCATAGATGATCCGAGGGTTGACTTGTTTCAACTTGTCATATCCCAGACCAAGCTCGTCAATCTTGCCGGGAACGAAATTCTCGATTCTGTAAATCACTGTTAGACAAAGCAACCCCCCATGGTAGACTCGGGGTGCAACTGGACAGAAATGGTGAATGTCGGGATTTCATACATGACATCGGCGTCCTTTGCTAGTTCGAACAGGATTTCGTGCGCCTTGGGGCTTTTCAGGTCGAGACATATCGAGCGTTTATTGCGGTTACACGCGGCGAAGAAGTTGGACATTGGACCCAGCTTGGGGTCCCAGTTGTCCTTTTCCACTGGGGGTTTGTAGTGCCTGAGATCATCCTATACAGACGGGGAGTTGGGTTAGAAATTTTCAAGTAGTGATGACACTCGCCCGCCCTTTTGGGACGAGTAGACTTAGGGATAAACAGAGATCGAGAAGATAGAGACGTACTCCTTTCTGAGGCTGCTCGACTTTGATGACCGTGGCGCCATAGTCTGCCAGAATCTGCGCGCAAAAGGGGCCCTAGAACAGTTTCTTTGAGCCGCACGCTTCAAGATCGACAGGGTAGGGCCTGGATGGATTCCAACCTACAGCGATCACTCGGGAGAGATCAAGTACTTTGATGTTGTTGATCAGGCCTGCCTTCCCTTGACCTTGACTTGACAGGTAACGTGACGACGACCGACCGAGGCTGAGGCATGGTCTGGTTGTCTGTGGGCGAAGTCGCGTTGAGGCGTGGCGGGTGAAAACCTGTCGTAGACCTCGCATCGGTGGCCCCATTCTTAAGCCGCTGCCGCCCTCTTCGTAAAAACTGGAGAGTCTCCGGTGTCTTTATTTTTCAAGCCTCACACAACATGCGCTTTTTACTTTTTGAACAAAATGGCTAAATTAAGATCTGTTGACAGCAGCGTTCGAGAACATCCCACCCATACTGGTTGTCGGGTAGGTGTCTTGACCTAAACCCCCCTGTACAGAGAAAAACGGGACCCCACATATTTCCTATTCAGGAACAGACGCTACTCCCAAAAGCAGTTAGTCTAATTTCAGCTGACCACACTGCCAGGCTCCGGGATCGACCCGGCAAACATCCGAGGCCCCGGCTGGCAGGTGAATCGTAACAATACAAGTAATACGAGGTACATGTACATGGGTGGGCTTGGCGACAAGTTCATCACTAGGTAGGTAGGTTCGTCTCCAGGTCGCCTAATAATATTATCCAGATCGGCCTTTTAACACCGAACCAACTCAGTCTTCTCCGGCTATCGCTTTGCCCCCGTCAAGGGCCATGATCAACCCTCCAACTATGATGCCGGGCACGGGGCCCATAAACCCCTTTGAGGTCTTGTGATCTTCACCCAGGAATTCCAACGCGCTTAGAGATCGTGAACGTCGGGGAGGTGTTTCCCCCCCTCCGGGGGTTCTGGCGGAGGATCAAGCGCGTGGTAATAACTCATTCCCCGAGTTGTGAGGAATTGAAACTTCGTATTTAAAAGGCCCAAGGGCCGGTACTTGGCGCCTTGTTTCTGGTGTTAAGCATCTCTCTGCCACGCCTCCCCCGGCTGAACCAGCACGCCCAGACAGTGCCAGGACAGAAGTCTCCTTGGTAGCCCTCGTCCTCGTGCAAGCGCGCACCAATCATCTTCCTTTTCTGGCAAGAAAGCCATGGCTCGATTCTGGGGCCTTCGTGGGCGGCGGCTTGGGACTGCGGTCTGGACGCTGGCCATGTTTGCGCTCATGAGCTTCGGCTACAATCAGGCCGTGGCTGGCGGTGTTTTGGGCAACGACTCGTTCAATAGGCAGTTCCCGCAGATGGATACGCTGCATACCACAGGCGGCAAACAGGAGCACAACTCCACCATCCAGGGTGCGTTCGATATTGCTTTGTTACAGATTCCCCTCCCCCCCCCCCAAAAAAACCCTGAGGAAATTAGTTTTTTAATGCTAAACACAAAAAACAAATGAGTCTTTAGGCACCGTTGTGGCCCTCTACACCCTGACGGGGACTTTTGGCGCCTTGGCCTGCACCGTCTTCGGCGATGTCATCGGGCGTCGACGAACGATCTTCCTCGCGAGTGGCGTCCAGATCGTGGGGGAGATCTTGATGGGCACGTCGTTTTCGTTTGCGCAGTTCATCGTGTCGCGAATCGTCGTCGGACTCGGCACCGGGGGCATCCTCGCCACCGTCTCGGTGTGGCAGGCTGAACTGGCAAAGGCAGAGAGCCGCGGAGAACACGTGTCGGCGTTTGGCATCTTTGGCGGCCTCGGCCTCGCGCTCGCGTGCTGGGTCGATTTCGGCGCGTCCTACGCGCGGTCGTCGTCGTTTGCGTGGCGGTTCCCCTTTATGGCCTCGATCATCCTGTCCGCCGTGGTCATGGTGTTCATCTTCACCCTACCAGAGTCGCCGCGATGGCTGATCAAGGTCGGCCGGATCGACGAAGCCCGCGAGGTCATGCATCTCCGCTACGACACCGACGACCACAACGAGGTTGTCGAGGCCGAGATCCAGGGCATCCTGGCCTCATTCGAGCGTGCCAAGTCGGTTTCCCTCGCGGCCATGTTCAGCATTGGACCCGAGCGAACCTTTCACCGCCTGGTGCTCGCGGCGCTCACGCAGATGATGCTCCAAATGTCCGGGGTCAACATCGTCTCGTACTACGCCGCGCTGATCTACGAGGTGAACCTCGGCTTCAGCGCGACCGTCGCCCAGATCCTGGCCGCCTCGAGCATGTTTGTCATCGTCCTCGGCAGCATCGTCTGCTCCTACACGGTGGACCGGTTCGGGCGCCGCGCGCTCATGCTGACCAGCGCCTGCGGCATGACCGTCTGCATGTCGTGCCTGGCCGGGCTGACGTCGCGGACCGAAAAGGCGGCCATCAACGCGGCCGTCTTCTTCCTCTTCTTCTACTACTTCACCTACACGATCGGGTTCCTGGGCATCCCCTTCCTGTACGCCAGCGAAATCGCCCCCGTGCACCTGAGGGCGGCCATCTGCGGCGTCTCGACCGCCGTGTCGTGGCTGTTCAACTTCCTCGTCGTCGAGGTCACCCCGATCGGCTTCACCCACGTCCACTGGCGCTACTTCATCCCCTACGCGGTCCTCAACCTCTCGTGGATCCCCATCGTCTACTACCTCCTCCCCGAGACGAACGGGCGCTCACTCGAGGAGATTGACGAGATTTTCACCCGCTCCAACAACATCTTCGACTGTGTCAAGGTCGCCAAGCAGTTGTCCAAGAGGGGTCCGCGGGGTTTTGTCGATGAGGAGACGGTGATTCACGTCGATCAGAAGTCTCATTTGGGGGTGGCGAAGCGGGATGTCGAAGAGGCAGAGGCAGAGGTGGAGAAGTCGGAGTAGGGAGACTGACAGACAGATTACGCGGATAAACAGCTGGTGATGTGCCACCATGTATGTAAATGTGGTCAGGTGAGCTGCGAACAGACAGCACTGTGCTCACGACGGATATATCTTCTGGACGGACGCATTCTTGGTGATGGAGGAGGGAGGTTGTTTGAATTTCGCGTGCGTGCGTACGTGCTACTTTGTGGTGGAATTACTCTGTTTTAACTCGCTATGAGGTATTGAGGTATGAGGTACAGTGTACTGCACGAGTATTCTGAATGTCCCCATGCGGTGCTCCGACTCGACTCCCAACGTAGACCATCCTAGCAGAGCATAACTAGTTGAGGATCTTACAAAGTACAAGGTATGCGCCGCAAAATCCTGCTGATTGTCATGGTATGCTTGGTCGGTGTCTCTGGACCCTGGATGTCTCCGGCCCGTCACCCGTCACTCATTGCACGATACCCGTCCATTCCGTGTACGACACTGTTGACACGCACATGTAAGTAGAAATGTGGTTTTGAGCGGGGGTTGAAGCCGAAGGAGCTGATGACAGACTGGCTGGCTTGCTGGGCCGCTTGACTAACGGGCAACAAGGCTGAGAGATTACCTTGGTATGTATATACATGAAGCATGGCATCAATGTATATCTGTAAAATGCCAACATTTGGTGAAGGCGATATAAATATGTTGTTCTATCTACCCATTTCCCCTGCTCGCTATCAAGACCTCGCTTTGTTGTTCATGGTCGTCAAAAAGTCAATCACGGTCGTGTACGTGACCAACAAGATCCCTCCGCCGGGACAGAAGCGGGCCAACTTGGGCACGAGTCCCTTGTACAGGGCGCTGACGCCCTCCTCGCGGATGACGGTGGCCAATGCCGGAAAGGCCCAGTTGTACTTGCGGACCTGGTGCGTGGACGTGGCGACGCTCTGGATGCGCGACTTGACCACGTCGAAGGGGGTGTTGACGAAGATGCCGGCCGTGCCACCCAGGCTGCCGGCGATCAGGTCGTTGGTCATCTGCCCGGCCTTGGTGTCGGCCTTGGGCAGCAACGCGCGGATCTGGAAGATGCACCCAAAGTAGGCGGCGTTCCACACCACGGACCGCCACATGGTGCACTCGAATCCCTGGAAAAACACCGACAGTCCTTCGTTCCGGGCCAGCTTGCCCACGCAGTCGACCACGTTCTTGTACTGGCTCGCGTTGGCCGGGTTCTGCATGCGCAGCTTGACCACCTCGAAGGGGCAAATGACAAAGCTCTCGGCGACACCCGCGCTGGCCCCCGTCACGATCGACAGCGGCTGCGTCATCTTCTCCTGCCCGAAGAGTTTCTGGTAGAAGCTGCCAAAGGCGGCGTTGGAGGCGAACTTGGTTGCTCTGCAAAGAATGATATCGTTAAGCCATCAAGAAAACAACGTGATGAGGATCGAGTGAATCAACCCCCCTTTCTGGGGGTTAGATAGCAACCAAAACCACATGGTTGTGCTTCTTACCTTTTTGGTGCTTCCATGAGTATCGGAGCTCCGATGGCTCTGTAAAAGACCGGGATCCTAAAAAGTCACTCGTTGTGTCAGGAACCCGAGAGGTCAAACTGGTCGCCGCAGGGGGTGTACTTGAGACTCACCCTTCCTGGTACAAGATTTTCCTTCCACAATCGATCATCCCAGTGTACTGTCTAGAGGCTGAATTCTGCAATTGTCTAGCCAAGAGAATAAAAAGGGGGATCGTCAGCAGACTGACTTGACGATAGCCTTGTGCCTTCTACCAAAAGGTCACCAAAGGGTTTCGTCCCCCTGGTTCCCCTTCCCAGAAGATGAACTTACAATCTCGTTTTGATAACATCCAGAGGATACCTGCATGGGGATCGTCCCTCTGGTCAATACCTTTCTCATACCTCCCAGAAGGGGAAAGTCGTTTTCTTTGCGTACATGACAAGAACCTGCAAATGGAAGTTTTAGAAGGACAGACCCAGAAAGTGAAAGGCAGACCAAAGCAAACATACCTCGCTAACACCAGCGACAGCACCTGCCAGGAACTGATACCGAAACGGCACGGTGGCTTGTTTCTCTTTGATTTGGGGTGCAGGTACAGATACAGGTGCCGCGGCGGTTGTAGCCTCGCCGTCCACGACGGGCACTGGGGTCAACTTGACCGCCGACATTTCGAGTGACAAGAAGAAGGCAAGTTTTGTAAACGATTTAGAATGATTTGGTTTCGTCTTCAAAGTACGGACGAGTCTTTCTTTCCTTCTCTCCTTCTCTTCTCTCTTCTGTCTCCCAATGGGTGAGCCAAGGATGATTGATAGAGAGGGAAAACCCCGCCCAACCACAAACCTGGGGAATCGCGTCTGCGTCTAGTGAAACACTCTCAAGTCAAAAACGTCGGCAGGTTGCAAATGGATGTCAGCCGACATAGAGAGAACTCATCGGCGTCCATACACGCCCAGGTGATTGTCAGTGGTGATAAATTCGGAGAGAGAGAGAGAGAGAGAGAGAAGAGAAGGAGACAAACTACCCGAGCATTACTGGTCGGCCAGCATACATGGCCAGGTATTGGGGGAAAGGGCTGTTGGGAAACAAACCGCACCGCCCTTTTTTGTTCGAGTCCCACGTTTCTGACAATTCAGTTGCCACTCTTTACCCATGGTAACGACGGGTTTCGGAAACAAATGATGGTGGATCCCAAAGACACCGAGGGCGGCGGAATCCAACCGGTGGCTTTTCCCCGCCCTTGGTTAGACCGACCTAGACAACTTCCCAAGGAAAATCATCTAGATATTACCTCTAGACATTGCTTGAAACACCTCGTAGCGAGATGAACGAGATGAACTTGGCGAGTCGGGGGGAGGCTGGAGAGGATGGAGAGCTGGAGCTGGAGATCTGGGTATCTGGGTATCTATTGCTATCCACCACTTCTGAATCGAAAGTGGGATTTCGCCTGCCGTACTTTCTACCTCGTATACACAACCCAAGGAAGTGAGATCGGAGGACTGCATCCATCTCCCGAGATGGTTTATGCTACAGTAGAGCGTCCTGCCAGCCTCGATATATACCTCCATAGGTGGATATAGGTATATTTGAAACTTCCTTGCCGAATAGCAGGAGATGTAGTGTTCGGTTGCCCTTCAATTTCCATACGGACAAAGCCATATGCTATAGTGTGAATTTCCTCGAAACTGACCAACGTGCTGCCCCTGCCTTGCCCTGCCCTTTATCGAATCCCCCCCGTTTTGATCTACAACTTTGACTTCCTCGCGGCCAGCTTCGCCAGGACTTCGCGAGTCATCCTCTGCGGTTCCGAGACGCCGCCGCTGCCTTCCTCGGTCTCGAACGAGCGGCCGAAAAAGTCGATCGAGTTCCTGATGGCTTCTTCCATGGTGACGTTCTCCCACCGCCGCATCATCTCCTTTTGGATCTTGATGGAGCGCGGGCCGCACTCCTCCAGCTCGACCAGCCACTGCTCGACGGCCTCGTCCAGCTTCTCCTGGTCCTCGACCACCTTTTCGACGAGGCCCCAGCGCTCGGCCTCCTCGGCGCCGATCTTGTCGCCGAGGTAGAACAGCCGCCGGGTCCGCCCCCAGCCGATCAGGCTGGTGATGAGCGCCGCCTCGACGACGCTGGGTACGCCCACTTTGACCTCGGGCATGCCGAAGACGGCGTTCCTGCTGGCGACGCGGAAGTCGCACGACACGGCTAGCTCGAGCCCCCCGCCGAGCGTGTACCCGTTGAGACGCCCGATGACGGGGACGGGGCACTCACGCAGCGACTTGCAGGCGTGGTGCATGGTGGTGATGAAGGCCCGGCCGACCTCGGGCGTGGTCAGCGTGGCCATCTCGTTGATGTCAGCGCCGCCGACGAACGCCTTGGTGCCGTGTCCGGTCAGCACGACGGCGAGGAGGTCCTTGTTTTGCTGCACCACCTCGGACACGGTCTTGGGGATCTCCCTCATGATGTGCGAGGACAGGGCGTTGAGCTTGTCCGGGCGGGAGATGGTGAGAGTCGCCACGGTGCCCGTTTTCCGTCTCGAGATGTGCGTGAGAAGTTTGCCGACTGATTTTGACGCCATATTGGAATGGATGATGGGTGACTTGAGTGACTTTGCTCTCTTTTGTTTTCCTCCCTTACGTACACACACTCTCTCTATCACAGATCTCTCTCTCTCTCTCTCTCTCTCTCTCTCTCTCTGTCTCTCGCAGTCCGTCCTTGCCTGTGTTGACTATTATGCGGGAAATCGGATTACCTCTCTTCTATTGGTGCACCCCACCGAATTATGACTTTTCTCTCAGAAAAAATTTCCAAGTCACATTAGTACCTAGGTTCCAGTCAGTAGAAACCACAAGTCTCGGCATATCGTGGAGCAATATTCCCCTTGACTGAGGTGGGCTTGCTAGACCAGCATCGGCTCTTGCACGGGTGATACGGGCGGGACCTTCCCCCTCCCCGTGACTGAGTTTGCAAATTGGTTGGCTGGTTGCCTTGGGGCCTTTTGTCTTCCACATCATCATCTCTTGGTGATTGCTGTAGAATATCTTCTTGAAAATTCTCAAGACGTTGCTCATACTACAACCCGTCCTTCTCAGGACTGAATGACACTGTCTACACGTCTGCGTCGTCGTGCCGGCAAACAAGGCTGTGACCCCCTTAGAGGGTAGTATTGCCAAGATAATTGTAATGACCGTCAGACACATAGCCGGCAAATCGGTAATTTACTTGCTTGCTACCGAGTACATGCCATGGATGGAGGTGAGAAACTACTCGTAGGGATCAGATCATCCCCAAAGAGCCCCGGCTCCCACGACGCTACGAGGTATTTCATTCGAGAGTAGATGACGAGGTCTCATGCAACTAACAACAATACCGTGGTACAGCGGGCTCGGACCCCTGGTCACAGTCACGTGACCTAGCACGATGTCGTCCCTACTCGTTCCGTAGAAGACGGTCTGGCGGTGGTCACACGCGTTGATAACTTTTCCTCGACTCTGTAACTTGGTTCTCGGGAACAGAACAGACCGCTCCAGGCATATGCATCTCCAAAGATTGTGCAAAATACCTCGTTGGAGACACTGAGACAATGGATAATGACCCGAGGAAGTGGTAATGCACGGGACGCGGGAATACGTGGCTTCCGGGGGTTTCTTTTGGGATCTAGAAGCTTTTGCGTGCTTGCTCGCTGGTGGTCAACATTAGGCATTACAAGCACGCGTTTTAAAACACAGATGCCTCGCTCGTGTGTCGACGAGTTACTCGGTATACGAGTAGGTACACATACTACGAGGTACGTGTAGTGTGTAACTAGCGTCAAACCCTCTTACTTGCCTACTTAACTCGGACTTACCAGGGTATGGATCCTAGATGGATGGAGACCTTCGGGCCAACCGAGGTGGGACCCCACGATCCCCCGTCGCATCCCAGATTCCGCGCTTACGACTCGTTTTTCTGCAGGGAGCCGAACCTTCCGAGGCTGTCCCCCGCGATCATCTCCACATGCCACGTGATGAATTTTTATCGCCCACCGGTTGTCCCTGGTACCCCCGAGCTTTACCCCAGAGACGGGCTAGTCATGCTCCTTTTTCCGGACGTTGAGGCGCGGGACCGGGGGAGGAGGGGAGTTGGGAGTAGGTTTTCGAGACATCTCGTAGGGCACCGTACCTACCGAACCTGGGAACCTGCGAGTTCTTGGATAAAGGGGGTGGATGGGTAGGTGGTGGTGGAAGCGGGGGATGGGGAAGGGAAAATATGGGCTTGGGTTTGTGTGTATTTGTCTCTCCTTAGGGCTTGTGGTCCCTGTCTCTCCAGCAAATCGTGAAGTGAATGCGGGCGTGTTGCTTAGAGGGGGGTCTTGTAACCAGTAACCTCTTACCTATACCTATACCAGTCAGTACCTACCTACAGCGTAGCAGGACCAAGAAACCCCTGAAGCAAAAAGACCAGCCAGCCCCCTGGCTCCCATCAATAGAGAAATTTAATTCCAAGCCATGGCGACCACTTACAAAGTCCCCGCGGTCGCGGACCTGAGACACCACTACATCAACGGCGAGTACGTGCCATCGAGCGAGCCCGCGACACTCACCCTCCTCAACCCTACCGACGGGTCCGTCGTGACCGAGCACATCCCCGTCGCCGGGCGCGACGACGTCGACCGCGCCGTCAAGCACGCCGAGGCCGCGTTCAATGGCGAATGGAGCCGCATCACGTCGCTGCAGCGCAGCCAGCTCATCAACCGGCTGGCCGACCTGGTGGAGGAGCATCTCGAGGACATCCTGCGGCTGGACTCGCTGTCGTCGGGCGTGCCCATCTCGCTGATCCCGAAGCGTGAAAAGAATTACATTGTGAACACGTTGCGGTATTTTGGTACGTATCCTGCCTACCTACACCAACCGACCGCCCATATTAAATGATGTCCTTGCGGCTGCGGCTGCGCTGCTTTGATACCTGTGAGGAAAGGGAGCTGTCCAAGAAAATTTTTGATTCATTTCTCATCATGTGTCTCTATAGCCGGCTGGTGCGATAAACAGAACGGCGACTATTTCCCTGCCGACGACGGCTTCGTTAAACTGGTCCGCCATGAACCTCTGGGGTACGTATGCCGCATGCGACCTTGACTGGCGTCACTTGAATCGAGAGAAAAAAAAAAGACAATAGCTAATAACAACTCACCCACAGTGTCTGCGTGGGCATCTGCCCGTTCAACGGCCCCGTCTCGACCATGATCCTCAAGGTCGGTCCAGCCCTCGCGACCGGCAACGTCATCATCATCAAACCGTCCGAGAAGACACCTCTCGGCTCGCTGGCCATAGCGCCCCTGTTCAAACTCGCCGGCATCCCCGACGGCGTCGTCCAGGTCCTCACCGGTCCTGGGAGCACCGGCGCCATCTTGGCCTCCCACATGCGCGTCCGCAAGGTCTCGTTCACGGGGTCGGTCCCCACGGGGAAAAAGATCCAGATCTTGGCTGCTGAGAGTAACCTGAAAAGAGTGACTTTGGAGTTGGGTAAGCCTAGTGTTCTTTCCCTCCTCTCGCTTCGAAATCACACCGTTGACCCCTGCTTATTACGATTCCAGGAGGCAAAAGCCCCGCCGTAGTCTTTGGAGACGCCAACATCGACAATGCCGTCACGTGGACCAGCAACGGTATCCTTACCCGCACGGGCCAAATGTGCGTCG